AACTCAAAGTTGAGATACCATGCCACTACATTTCAGCAACTGTTTCAGACTTAAATTAACACAGCAGAAAACTAAAATAATGCTTCTGAGGAAGACAACAGATTTTTACACCTTTATCTTCTGGAATACTGAAGAGGAAATGACTGGATACCACCACTTTTGTTTAGTTTATAAATGCATAAAAGTGAAAATGCCACTGGACAAAAATGTTTTTCTTGTGAGTACTGCAAAATACCATATAAAATCTTCAGGCCAAGCCTGGTTCCCTAGACACTGTATCCAGGGTGCATTGTGACCTCTGTCTGAGGAAGATATAGTAACATAGTGAGGAGAAGGCATGCTCAGTTATGTATGGATGCACAAGCCAGCTCTGGTTTCCATGGAGACCAGAGCCCACAGGTCATATGACCAGGGTACAGTAGCCCTATTTTATCGGTGATGTATCAAAAGGGAACTGCATGCACACATTCTCACACGCAAACATACACACACAGCAGGGGCTCAAATCAATAGAGAGAGAAAAAGAAGTGAGAAAGAAGAGGGAGATGGGGAGGCAGGGAGTGGGAAATGAAGAGAGAAGATAGGGGAAGATCGGAAGATGGAGAGGCAGGAAGCGGGGGAGGGAAAGAGGGGATATAAACCAGAAGAAACTGAGGACAGAAGAGATAGCAGCAAGAGAAAGGCTGCACATGAACCAGTACAGAAAATCTAAATAATGGGAGCAATGGTAACCTACTGTAATAATACAGTATGTCATTCAACATCATTGAAATTACCATTCCCACAAACTGACAATATAGTGTAAAAGCAAAGCAAGTATTCCCACATAATATTGGAAACGTTCAGCAGCAGCAGTAATGGGAGTGAACAGTACAAATTATTTGAATTTGGAGACCAAGAAAGCAATATTAGTTTAATTTGAGTAGATCACATTCTCTCCTGCCCTCACCCCCATGAAATGCAGTCCAGATTCTCTGCCACCTGTCTCAAGCCAGATTTACTTTTCTGTGCAAAATTAATGACAAAGATTTGCTGTGCCAACTGTTTCATGGTTTCTGGTAAACCTGTTTGTGCAAGTTGAAACAAAGCATATTATATGTAATATTACATTTGTTACCAAAGCTTGTGACAGAGTATAAACATGCAGCATCTGTTTCTTCATGAATTATTCCAGATTAAAGCAGTGATATTCACCACACTCCTTCAGCATTTTTACTGTTTGACTGGAGTATTAAACTAGCACTTGAACACTTCACTCCACTTACTCACCCCAGACTGCACCAGCACATGACAGTAGACAGGGCTGCAGGGGTACTGCGCTCTGCATGGTGCATGCTCTGTCATGCTGCCCAGTGTGGATGGGATATTAGCCACTACTACTTTCTGTTCATTAAGTATGCCGTAGCCTAGGGCGAGAGAGTGGCAGCTCTATAACTCTGCTGGTATTTTGCAGGACCCTGGAGACCTGTCATACCCCAAAGCACACCTCCCATTTGCTGCAGAGAGAGAACCAGAGCTTGGTCTATCATGCAGCCTCCCTGCCTTTTCCATGTTAAGAAAGGTACATGCTCAAAGCCTCAGGACACCATGGTTAACCTTCCTTCTAGTCAGGAAGCTATTCATATCTCTACTGCAGAGCAGGATGGACCCTTTCAGGCTTCACAGGTTTAAGGCTACTACTGGGATTGTCTTGCAAATCCTGCTGAATCGTGCCTTTGGGTACTGGTTAGGGTTCTGGACTCGTAAATGGAAGGTTGTGGGCTCAAATCCCAGATGAGATGCTGCAGTTGTATCCTTGAGCAAAGCACTTCACTTGTACTGTTCCAGTGAAATACCCAGCTGTACAAATGGGTGAAAATGTAAGTCAGTTTTGATAAAGCATCAGCCAAATAAAATTAGTAGGTATTGAAGTAGCTGGACAGAGCAGACTAACAGGCCCATTGTTATGACTTGGATGTTATGTACCAGATGGGATTGTTGCTAGAGTGATGTTTAGATAAAAGATACTCTTGAAACAGGTTTAGCATAACATTTACTTGTAATACATTTTACAGAGCAATAGCTGGAAACATTGAAGGTAGAGGCAAACAACCCCTCCCACAAATGAGCAATCTTCAGTTTGTTTGTTAATACATACACATAAAGGGGTGGTTTCTATCATATTTTGCCACCCCATCACACCAGAATATCTCTTTTATGACTTTTGGAAACGAAAATGTCTAAAAAAAAGATGCAAACTGATGATGATGTGGGAGTTTCTGAGTTACTGTTTAACCAAGCAACAAAAGCTGAGCAGGACCCCTGCCTGTGCTCAGACTATCGCCACCGCCTGCTCAATCGGGCCAAGAAGTCATATCAGACACAATTTCTGATCACAGTTTCTACTCAGCCTCTTGGGGGAATAAAACTAAAGATCATTTAGATTAAATGGGTGACTCAATATTTAAAGGTTAACATAAAAAAATCCAGCCCATTTACAGTAGATTCACCATTTAATGACAGGAATAAATACAGTGTTTGGTTATTAAAACAATAGATGGACAGTAAATACCAAAACTACCAACAGTGTGGCAGACTGAAAAATGCTTTACCAACCTGACAGAAATATTTTATTTAGCTTTTATTTCAGCATAAACTAGTGCCTGATTTTGTAAGGTTCAGTGTCTTTCATGTCTGTGTAGACGGTGTTGGACTGAAAAGACAAGTGGATATTCATTCATTCTGGGTGAGATTCAGCGTTATTCATGTCTGCATAGACAGTGCCAGACTGTTAAGTGTACATTAATGAACAACCGTTAAGTGTAGTTAAAAGCTAATCCTACAAATGTGGACATAAGCTGTTATTTAAAAATATTGATGATCTACTGTAAGTCATGCATAACCTATAAAAACTCAGTTGTAAAGTAAATATACTGTGAAGCCTAAAACAGAAAAGCTTTTAATTAAGGAATAACTCTGCCTCTGCCTTTCTTCATAGCTTGTAATAATAATAGTTCCACACACATCTATCCATCAGGTCAGTTCATACATTTTAAATCAGACATTAATCAAGAACCTATGGTATGTTGTTGACCAGATATATTTAAGGGATATTTGTGACTGTTCTCTACACCCTGCTGTGTCTCATCTGTGGCTCCACATGGCTTGTCTACTGCCTCCTGTGTCTGGTCCTCTCCTTCTCTCTCCTGAGGACCACACAGATGTTGGCTGCAGCTCGGACAATGTCAGGCTGTGCCCTGCCAGTTTTCTGAGTGTGTCACAGAGCATTGTCTTCAGTGGGGCAGGGGTTGGGTGGGCTCAGAGACCTCTGCTATCAGTAGGCTGACTTTTTAATTAAAGAGAAATCAAATAGGCGGATTAGATCAATGAATGGTTCGTTTTGAGGACTTGATTTGAGGATTAATGTACAAAACATGTTCAGAGCATCACCAACATGTATTAGCTAGCAGACTGTATTTTCCAGGTGTTAAGAGCAGTTACTGCATATTGGGATGCTGTTGCAGTCTTGTACTCTACAAGTCCTTTGACAACAGCTTTACTACCTGATTTACTATCTAGATTTACCACCTGTTCTAGTCAGATCTCGGTACTGGCATGGGAGAAAAACCGCCTCTGTAAGTAGTAGTGGGGGACCAGCAGGTGATGCTCAGGGGCACTGTGCTATAGAAAGTGCTGTCCTTTGGATTATGTCCTTTGGTCCTGACTACTTAAATCATTAAAGTTTCATCATTAAACCCCACTACAAGTCTAAAAAGCCAAAAGTATAATTTACAAGCAAATTACTACTACTGCTTTTAAACAAAATAAAGAGTTTAAAAGAGTAGAAATGAAAATTTAGCCCTTCATTGGGCTTCTGTGTGTTACTTTATATTCAGATTTAAACTACCTTTAATTCTAGTACAGTAGTTTCTGTCACAGCACAGTATATCAATTTCCCTACAGGATTAATAAAGTATTATAATCTATCTCTATATTCTATGCTAAAGCAGTGGTTTCTCTTCTAGAACAATGGCTTTTATCCCAGCGTAGCACCTTTCTCAAGTTTTCTATACGGCTCGTTTTCTCCCCTTAGTTCAGCTTCTTGGTTCAATGGTTTGCTCCGTGTACCTGGTTGGCTCCCTTCCTAGTTAATATAGGGTGGAGCAGGGTGCACAGCTAATCCCTGCTCCAGTGATTAACACTTGCCTTCTTGTGGCTGGAATCTCCAGTCAGCCATCTTTGACAGGGGGAAAGCTTTTAAGAAATTGCTGAAAGTAACACTTCTGTGAATCTGCCCCTTGTGGCATAAAACTACAAATTAAGTTTGCAGGCGATAGCCAAGAATCATTAATGATGAGACTCAAACCCAGGCCTTCTTCAGCACATCAAAAAACACTGAGCATTAAACACTGTTTTTGGCCTTTCTTGACCATTCAGCTGTCACAGCCAATTCAAAGCAGAAGCCTTGTCAAGACTTTTGTTTAATGTCCCAGGTGGCTTTGCACCTACAACTTGCCTGGGGAGTTTGTCACACTAGCAGGGGGTGACCAGCCGCTGTCCCAGAAAGTCACAGATCAGTGGGTTTTACAGGTCCCCTTTAATCACTTCACCTCTAATGACTCTGGGTAATTTAATTCTGACCACACAGTTAAGCCTTTAATTTGCAGAATTAAGTAATTTAGTGATCCTTGGGAATAAACTGGGACCCTACAGCTTTAACCAGACTGAATTGAAAAAATGAACTTAGAAATGAAAAACTTACATTTGTTCCAGTTTAAATTGTTATAAATTACAGAGCTGGGGTTACATACAAAACATGCTGAATTGTGGCTCTCTCTACCATAAGTGTTAAATATAACAACTCTTGATCCAGTGGTTTTTATGTTTGGCCAATACTGGAGAATTCCATTAAAGCCCCATCTCACTGGTGATAAACCCAGAATGAACACTGCAGGGAAAATCAGCATTGTTATTTTACATTCCCTTTTGGCTAGCCGACGATTTGTTTTCCTGTCTTGCAGCTCTACTAAACAGTATGGATTTCAATCCAGTGGAGAAACTGAATGCTTCTCCAGCTGGCATTGCTTCACAGAACCATGGCGTGTGGAATCAGGGGGCCAGGCGCTTACTGCAGCGAAAAACTGTGCTAAGCAGCGCGGATGAATGTAAGTGTCATGACTATTGTAGACAATGTGGTCTGCCTTCAAAATCTTGGTGTACACATACATCACCGACCCAGCTAAAAAGAGTGAAGCACAGGACAGAGGAGTGAAGTTTAAAGACTTATGGTGACCAATCATGTTTACTTTTCTATTCCTGATTAGAATGTCCTCAGCTTATCTCCAGACAGTAGTTTATAGAGTTAGGTAAGAATATGAAGGCAAAAATATTACTTTTAAACACACAACATACCCTCTCTGCAGGTAGGCAAGTCATTTATTGAAGTAAAACATCACAGATTTCGTCAAAGTAAATTTGAAAATGGTCAGATTTAAAAACAGTCCAGGGATAATAAATGAACCCAGGTGCATGACCAGACAGGCAAAACAGGATAACAGCAGGCAGTGAGGTGTGCGAGAAAATGGACAGTCAAACACCGTCCAGATACAAAGTTGTAGCAGCCAGGCTAAACTGGGTGGCACTAAATGAAAGCACAAAATGGAAATACACAAGCAGAGGTTGGGCAAAATGAAGAAGGTTCATAACTCAAGTAAGTCAAGTTCTTTGAGCGCTCCCATAGAGACAGGCATGACAAAACTCAAAAACATAAATCAAAACAAAAACCATTTCATAGCATAAAATATGGTAATTGAAATATCTGAAAAGCTCCTTCAACAAAATGCTCCAGCAGATGTTAACTCTGTATTGTATGAGTAAAGTAAAACTCCTAGTACAATCTATTAGACATGCATAGATAAAATGCTTAGTAACAAGTAAACAATTTTAATAAGCTAGAGGGTGTGCATAATTAAGCAGAGATTAAAATTCAAAACAGGAAATCATCTCTTTACACCTGCCTTGCTTGCAAGCAAATAAAAGAAAAACTATTTCACAAACCCTGTTGTCAGGAAAAACTGAGTGGAACTCTTGCAGGCAATACTTCCTTTGTTTCCCATTGTGTTGTGACTGGGTAGTAGACAAGACAAACATTGATTTACACACAATTACAAGAACACAAACACACAAGGTCTACTCCTATACACTTATTAGATGCAGATATTTAGACAACTGTGAGTAATTGGGCCCTATTTTCAACAAAATCAGGAAACAAAACTCAACCCTGAAGCACAGATGTCATGTAGGAAAAAAAAAAACTTATTATATACCTCCCTTAAACAGCTGCTAAACAAATAGGAGTCTCCCCCCAATTCCAAACAACACATCAATAAACTGGTGAGGGATTTCTTTAGCCTATGAAAACCACAAATAAGAAAAAGCTTCCCACAGCTGTAAGCCAACAGTTCCTTTGCTAAAACCTAAAATTGGTCCCTTCAGTCCTCAAATTACCTGGACATGTTCGGTTGTCTAGTCTGCCAAAGTAGGAGTCCTGCTTTGAAGAAACTGAGCTGTTTCTTCTCTTATACAGTCCTTCTCCATCCATCCTCTCTAACTGAGATTTTAATCTGTTTACTGTATTTTTCCCTGAGACCCACTTTTCCTACAGGCATAGTAAGAGGGGACTGCTTAATGGCCTATCAGCAATGCTTTCGTTTTAATTTGAATTTGGTATATTTATCTGGCCATCGTGACTGCCTCTAGGACAAGCCAAGACAGTGAACAGCTAAACAAATGGTACAAAGAATGTCAATTCTCTTACCTTAAAGAAGGGGATACTATGTACTATACTATAACATTACTGTTGCAAACAGATCATGCAACAGCAAAATACACAGTGCAAGTCATACGATCTAGAACCCAATCTTGAACTTGAGCATACAAATTGGACGATTAAGAAACCATAGAATTCATACTCTTTTCTTGAAACAAAATTCACACAAGTCACTGAGAGTAGTAGGAGTTAATGTCCATCAGCTGTGGTTTACTTATAAAAGAAAATCTTTCACAGTGGGCTTAGTACAATGACCAGTGGTACAGCTGGGATAAATCAGCCAGGGCCTGGTGAAACATAGAAACTTGCACCTGTACTTTTTCAGTAGGGACATGCCTATCTTCTAATCAATGCTGAGCTATGCACCACTGCAGTGCCTGTAACATCATGCAAGAGCAGTGAAGCAGGCATGAAGAGTCTGTGCACTTCCTGGCACAGCATTGATCTTTGTAATATGAGATACAAACACATGATTGTTTATTTCAGCTGGGTTTGTGTACAATAACCAGCAATCTTTAAATTGTACATTCAAGCATTCTCAGATTTGGAAGAGTCATGTGTTAATGCAGTCACTTGAAAAGTGTGCTGAAAAGGATGTCTTTAACCATGATGTTTGACACATTATGGGATATTTCCAAACAGGGAAAATGAGATGAAGGAGCTGGGTCCACACTTCCAGGTGCTGCAGATCTAGTACTGTGGCCTGTTGGAAGGGTGGTGACAACAGGAGTCCAATCAATTCTTGACAACAGTTTCTACCCCAAAGCAGTCAGCCTGGTGTTGACTTCACACTGTGTCAACAATGGGGCTCAGTTCCATGATCCCAAATTCAATTCCTCTTTAGAATAAATCTATTTCCAGTTCCTGAACTATTTTTAATCAATTGTAAAGCCAATAGCAGCTGTATTGCCAAGAAAGAACTGTTGGAATCAGGAAGTGGAAATGTTTAACACGGTAGAGGAATTTTACCATGTATCAAGAACTTATTTGAGAATAGCCACTGGAAATAGTTTAGGAAATGAAAAAAAGCAATCAATCCCAACCCTAAAGGGACTAGTGATCGTGGGCATGAAAATACCACAGCTAGCAGCCAGCCATGCCTCAGAAAATTCTTCCACAAGAGCAGCACCCTTGAACACCTACTGTGACCTTTCAGCTCTGAAATGGATGTGCAAATTGTCTGCCTGTCTGAATTCACCGATGCATTAACCAGCCCAGGGGAGCATCTGAATTGCAGATGCATGGAAAGGACTTGTCTTCTCTCCACTTTGCAAGGAGACTGGCTGTGCATGAGGCCCTATGTCTGGGAAGAGAGCTGTCAGGGGGGAAAAAAAAAAGATGAAGGAAAAGAACTTTGCACTGCAGCCCAAGGCTGGTTATTGGAGACCTGGTTTGACAAAGTGCTGCAAAATGCCAAGCACAAAATTAAGAGAGCACAGGCACAGCAGAAGCCAGCAGCTTTGCCTTGGGCATCATTCAAACAAACATGGGGAAGGCAGTAAGTTAACCTTTGAGGAATTATGGGAAAACCAAGCAGTTCCAGCTTTTGTTAAGGTGGTCCTTTCTATACGACAGGGCTTTTATGAGATTCTGCAAATGTAGAGAATGGTGGAGTTCGAAAATGTACTCATTCAACTCAATATGGACCATTTGCCCCTCTTTTTTAATTTAGGATAAACCCAACAGAGAAGAGGGTGGTTTGTGTGTTTTTTTTTCTGGAATACTCTCTGGTATACAGTCCCAAACAACCTGAAATGTAACAAACCCAAATGTGATTCTTTGTCACAAGAATAATTACAGACTGAATCTGGGGGAGAACATTAATGGCACATGTGGAAAAGCCTGGAACACAGCACACACTGTATTCAAAGAAAAGGCATTACCAAGCCTAATCCACACCAACAGCACATTCCCACTAATCCTTTTATTAAATCTAGTTCAGATGCAACTTGGCTACCATGAAAGAGAAAAAAGGGGGGTGCGTCCAAGGCCCTTATATCAGAATGACAAGACTGCTATTCTTGTTAAAAAAAAACCCCAAGAATGCCCAAAGGAGGAAGAAACAGCCACATAGGCGGAGCTGCATGGCAGAGACATAGTGGGTAACTATGGGAGGGTAGGCGATGTTTGGTGGAGGAATGGGGGTGCAATTAGACCCTGAATCTTGTAATATGATGCCTTTCTCTCTCACATGCAATGCATTCGCGCCCACAGTTGCACAATTCCAGAAAACACCAACTGCACAATGAGCTGCCCGACCAGCAGTGTTCTGAGGAAGAGAGAACTGGGCTCCGGTCCGCACAGAAGAATGTCTGCCTCCCCCTGGGGAGGATTGAATTACAGGGTGTTCTCCTTCACATTTAATATCCCCCCCTTGGTATCTACTACACACGCTACAGCCATATCAAATATGGCTGTAACTATATCTATGGTGTGCAACTGCGTGGGGAAACAAAAAGAGAAATAAGATGTGGGCTCTGAAAAAACAGGTGAATTGGCAGCATGCAGGGTGAGCACACTGGAGGCTTCCAGAGGGACAGGGAAACCTTTACTACATTAGTCTATTAAACTCCCCCTGCAGAGAGCTGGTTCTTGTCAGTAGAGTGTAAAAGAACATATTTCAGCTAGTTCTTATTCACAATCAGAATCTACTTTATTGTCCACAGAGTGGAAATGTTCCTTTTGTTCTCCCTGAGACAATCAAAACAGCTAATGCAGAGGACATAAAACATCTGGTGGATTTTACCAGATGTGTACAGTCAATACAAGAAATACAGGACTCGAAACAAGATTTAAGTGTGACATACATATACTGTATACGTATGCTGTCAGTACATATGTTCTGAAGGGACTCATACATTAAGAGTAATGGCACTTGGAACAAATGACTTTTTAAAAATGTGTTTTGTAGCCTTTGGTGATTTAAAACGTCATCTAGATTGCGTTTTTTCAAATTGGAGTGTAGTGGGCGTGAGGCATCATTTACCATTTACACTGCTTTGCTGTAAACACTTCTAGTATACACAGTTGGTTCTGTACTGCCTTACCAGCCAATGCTTGAGTATAAAACCTCTCATCATGCAGGCTGAAGATTTTCGATGTGCTATATAACCTCAACATAGCTTTTACAACTGCAGAGAGGATGGAGACAGAAGTCACATTTTGTGATGCAATAAAATCCAAAGATGACAGAGGAAAAACAGGAAACTTGTCATCTTGTGATAGGACATGCCTGTTTCCCTTCAAACCCCAGCAAGGACTTGAGTTAAAATATGCATATCTGTTATAGAGATTCTCTTCATTAACAGCTGTCTGCTTTTCATCACTTTTGCACAGGTGCACCTACTCCCCCAATTTAAACAATGGCTTCATAGAGGTCTATTCGCCTTTTTTTGTATCAGCACACAGACACTCATATTTCTTGACCGCTTTACACCTATAAAAGACATGCGAAAGGTCAGAACATTATTAAAATGAATGTTAATGCTTTCAAAGCTCTGTAACTTAAAGAAAATTTACAATGCCTAGAAAGTACAACTACTTTATAATGTACTGTATCTATCCAATACACACATGAACACATGGGAATGTCCATCCATCCATTTTCTAACCTCTTTATCCAATTCAGGGTTGTGGGAGAGTCAGAGTTTAATCCCAGCAAACAACGGGTGCAAGGCAGGGTACACCCTGGACTGGAAACCAGTCCATTACAGTCCACACACACAGACACCAGGGCAATACGTTTTCCATAAGCCAATTATCGTATCAATTGGTTTTTGAACAGTGGGAGAAAACTCATGTGAATACAAAGAGAGCAGATAACACCTCAGGTTTCTTATCACTTTTGTTATATTTATTTTCTCACAATAACTTTCTGACCAGGACAAATCTCTAGTAACTATTTCATTTTGTAATGTAATCTTCATTTTAAATGAATTGCTTTTTGCTAAGTTATGATATATATTGTTTGAAATTTCAATTTACTTTGGAGAAGAGACTTAATGTACAATAATTTACTATCATGTATTTTTGAACTTACTACCAAACACCATCCTACAAAAGCCTTGACTCTGTTATATGCTTTTCAGATCTAAAGAGATGCACTTTAAAATGCTTTAAAGGCTGATTGGCAGATCTCTCTCGATGACTGGATGCTGAAAGAGGGAATCAGCAATATGATTCACCCCCGAGCTGAAGCTGCTGTTGCATTGGTAGGGTGATAGATGTAATAAAAATTCTAGAACAGCTCCTAGACTAGAATTTCTCTAATTTGCAACAAAGATTCAAGAATTGTTGCATGCCATATTCTACAGAGTCATTATCACTGCAAGTTAACATGAGCTCGACTGACGAGACCAAAGCATTGTTGAGATCAGGGTGGGTAATCCTGTTTGCTAGAGGACCAGTCTGGTTGTAAGTTATCTTTTCTTCTCAGCCCTGAACAAGCTCAATCAGCTCATTACTGGCTTAACAGGACCAAATTCACAGTTTCTTCCAACTCTTCAGTTCTGCAGCCTTAAAGAGACCTATAAAAACCTGTAGACACTGGGCATCCCAGGTCAGGGTATAAACCTGCTACCACTTGTCATCCTTGATCAAACCCAAATCTGGGGCCCCCAGACAACCACACACGACACTCATGCACAATCTACACAATTAATACTAATCTTGTCATTCCACCATGTCTGACATTCTCTTATTTTAACATGGCGGGTCTCATATTTTCTATGAGATCTGAGAAGAGACGTTTCCTGGAGAAGAAGAGAAATCAAACTAGCAGTGTGCTAGGCCTTCCTGTTGAAAGACGGGTCAGGACTGACCCTGTTGTCACTTCCAGTCAGTGGTTTCACAGCATATTGTGGTACAACAGTGAGATTGCATGACAAGCCACATTGTAAGCAGCCGAAAGAGAACGGAATAAATCTGATCATCCCCGACTTTGTATTAATCACTAATTTGCATCTAAAGTAGTGATGTAGTGAGACCCCTGGCTGACCTTTTAGGCCATGTTACACACAAGAAATGGCACATTAAAAAAAACAGTTGCCAACTACTGGTTAATGACAACACTTTGTTCATAATCAATGCGAGATTGTGTTAGCTATCCCATGATTAAAGCTAAAATCAATTCCTTTACTCATCAGAATGTGAAGAGCTTTAGACAAAGTGCAAGTAAAACCTGCTTGTGTCACATCTGTGTAGCTAACCTCTAGTGAACACAAGCACTTATGAGATCATCTGCCATGAGCATGAAATGAAGTTCATGAAAAACACGCATCACCTACACTGCTGCATCCACATCTAGCACACACCAAATGTGTATGCTCCTCCCATCTCTCCACTCCTAATTCAATATAGAAAGTTTGATTTAAGAAGCAACTACTATGCGAGTCGATTTAAGAGTTATTAAATGGTTCTCCATGTGTGTCTTCAAAAAGCCTGAACATTCCCAGATCAATACAAGCACTGCACAAGTTCAAAATTAGAAAAACCATACACTGTGCATTCTGCCATGCATCACAAAGCAATAATATATAGCTTACTCTCCTATACTCCTCTTTAATGCAAAACAAACACCACAAATTATACATTTAAAAACACTTTGATAATATATTTCAGATGCTCTACTGGTATTTTGTGGGTTCAGGTTTTCACACATTAGCACTTAAAGAAATCATGTTTTAAAGTGATTCAAGTTTTCAAAGCCCCTGAGAGAACTGTTTTGTGATGCTCAGAAAGGAAATAAAGCACCTTCTGATCTTGTTTCTATGAAGTCAAACAAGAAATACAGAGAAGTTTTTTTTTTTTTTTTTATTTTTGGAAAGTGGAATTTGGGCAAATATGAACATGTTGAAGGAGATACACACAGCATTATTTAAAACGTTAAGGCCCCAGTCCCATTAGATGCCGTCTTTAATAGCCTGAGGAATGGGGCACTGTGCTAGAGCGGACTGCCTGTGCAATTTTCCAGGGTCTCACCACCTTCCGGCACTCACAGCTAACCCGCTCACTCCTCTTGTAAATCGTCCAATGTGCTCCCCACCTGGCCGATGAGCTGCTATCCCACTTGCCTGCAAACATACTCTGCATCTGAATTTTTTTTGTCCCGCATTTGAGTTCCTACATTGTTCCCTACACTGTGTAATATGTTTTGCTACAGACAAAACAGCAGTCATGGTAACATGCAGAGTCACAGAATTGTGTAGCAGATTATGCACTGAGGAAGTGTACTTCAAGCCAGGCTAGTCTCACTTACAGACACCCAGCATCTGATCCCTTAAAACTGATTAGGAAGTCAAAGCCGCCGTCATTCCAGCAGCACATTTCTACACTAATCCTGTTAGTGGAGAAAAAACACTTTCACTCTGTCTCTCCTTCTCCCACCAGGAGCCTCTCAGGCATCTGTCTTGTGCAGTCGCCACGCAGACACCGAGTTTACCACAGTAAAACAGAGTGGTAATGACACTTCCTTAGGCTGCACCTCAACACACAGCAGCTGCCAACAGCATAATGGGCTTGGTTTTACTTGAATGAAATGCAAATGACACTTAAAAATGCATGACCTGCAGATCTTTCAAATGCAGTGCTCTCTGATCGACTGTCCACTGGGAGATCAGAAGCAATTGAGTATGTGCCCTATTTTATTTTGCCAGCTGATAGAAATCATGTCCCACCACAGGCCTGAAATGTGCAACAAACCAAAAAATACACCACCCTTACCTGATCTAATATTGACATACTGAAGGTGACCCAGAACAGTCAACAGTCCAGAAAAAGTTTTAAAAAAAATTTTAATTTAAATTTTTAGATAGTTGTCCCATTTCATGTTCAATAAACATCAATAGAAATAAGAATTGCTTATCCAGATTATTCTGGTTCTCTGCAAGCAACAGACCCATAGAAATTCCACTAATGAAACAGATAAGCTCATCATGGTTCATTTATTGTAACCAAGTTTCAGTCTCTGAAAATTCACTCCACACAAAGTAACAATCATGAATTGAACACTTGGTGTTACATGTACCTACAGCTTGGAATACCTGGAACAGACTGAACAGCTTTGCACCAGAAATCTTGTTTCTATCTGAGAACTGTACTACATTTGCAAACACCAGCTGTCAGTCAAAGCTAAGGCTTACTGTAAAATCAAAAGAATCTGCCAATGCTGAAATCCTAAACATTCTTACAAAGGATGGTCACTCACTTGTTTTTCTCACCATCTTTGCAAATTTGAGGAAAAAAAAAGGAAGGATATTTAGATGTATAGCCCTGTTTTATACCATAATTGTCAGGGAACCTATAGGTAGGATTGGAGGATCCTTACACATGACTGGAATCCCACAGAATGCAGAGTAGCAAAAGGGACAATCTGAAAGAAGAAATCCAAAGGCTGGGTCAATAAGGGAGGCAAAGGGTCTGGTAACAAGAAACATCCTAAAACAATCCAGAAGGCAAAGTCAAGAAGCAGAAGCTTCATAACATGAGATCAGTCAAAATGCTTGGAAACACACAGTGACAAAGAATACTACAAGAGGCTTCTCAATAGTGAGCAGGGGAAGGTGTGTGAGGGGAGTTTAAATATTGAAAGGAAAGGGGTGTGATTGGATGATTGGTTAGGGAGTGAGAATTTGAGGAATCTGGTGCATGTGAGAATGTGATGGGTTCAATCAGGGATGAGATTGTGAAGCAGTGGTTCTGGGATTGCAACGTCATTTGCGAGGGAGAGTGTGGGGTGCGACATGGATAGAACGGCGTTTCCGAGGTAGAGTGTGGGGCGTGACAATACTAAATAATCTCCAAAGAGGTGAAGGCAACAGGGAGAAATCTAGCTATAAAATATATCAATCATGAGGTGCAGTACAGAGGAAGATATATGTGTGTGTAGATGAAAACATCAGTTTCTGTGCTGAGCCCTAGAAAGTCATGAATAGAGAAAACAAAGTGGCCACACATTTCATTAAGGAGGAGGGTTACAGAGAGTTATTTAACTATTCTTTTCTCCCATTTAAATTTTCTCTTCTTCCATAGTAATATAACCTTTGCTCAAATCCTTATCTAAAGGTGCTAATTAACAGAGGACTCTATATTTACACTGCACACTGCAAAGGCTTAAGAAACCATGCATTATTGTTCCAAGTCCCCAGCATAGTTAGTGACTGTATTTTTCAGCAAAGTTCTTTACCCTGACATCATCATAGTCCACTTGACTTGTAAGGCCCTCACCAGGGGTCAATCTGTGATAACCCCATCCAGGAGCTGCTAACATTCTTAACATTCTCAACCTGCTTCATGCTCAGACACTGAGAAAAAACTCTGGTCCCATGACTCGTTTGGGCTGTTGATGGAGATCAACTCTTGAATTTCATTTTTAATTGCAGCAGAGGTCTCCACATGGCATGATTTTAGCACAGCACTGTGAATACACAAGACCTGTAGCACTGCCTCCCTCCTCACTGCCTCACCTTGAGCACGAGGCACCCAGTGCAAGGCAGAGGCACCCCACACAGTCTGAAGCATCTGACCAGTAAATGTATTCCTTTGAGAGAAGGAGAATTACTCCTGCTGGATTACTTTTGAAGCCCAGGGAGGAAAGAAAAAGTGTAGTGTAAGTGTGTGAGGAAACAATTAAGGACAGCACTAATGATTTTCTGATGGACTGCCTAGACAAAGCCAAGCCATTCCACAGATCAGCACCGTGAGAGGCAGTGTTCCTCTAGTGTGGGCAGACTTCATTATCCCTGCAAATCAATGTCCAGGGAAAACACTCAGGTCTCCACACACACTACACATCTAGGCCAGGAGTCTCCATTCCTGGTCTCAGGGGACTGATGTGTCTGCAGGTATTCTAGTTCTGTTAACAGCAGTAGTACCAGAAGAGCTGGGAGAAGCTGTTAAACTGGTCTAATTAATCCAGTAATGAGCTGATGAAGTAAGGTCATTAGGAGCCCAGCTGGATTTAAAACCTGCAGCCCTCCAGTACCTGAATCAGAGATCCCTGTCTTTTAAGCAGTGTTATCATGTACTGTATATCTGTATATGCAGCACTGTATATCCTTGTCTATAATACGTTTTTTTAATAGCACACATATCAACATCATCAAAGCATGTACACATAGACATCCCTGTTCCTGGAGTTTTTTCACTCTTACTGTACATTGTTGGAAAAATGCAAGAAGAGGACTCCTCCCTGATCCTCCTAGGGGTCTAGTGTACACACAATGAAGATCTGCATCCTGCACAATGAAACCAGCCTTCACTACTGGCTTGTGTAGCATGACTGCGGTCCTTTAGCACTGAGAATAAGGGATAAAATCAACTTTGTGCACATTCAAATCACCTATATCTTCTAGTTAATGATCTGAGCCATTGCCTCACAGGTAGCTAAATGCAGCTCAACAGAAACAGAGCTTGCGGCATTAGCATGTAAATTGTAGAGGCACGGATCCCATTACGACATGCATGATGCGCTTCAAGTTTCTCTGCATCGCCACAATAATAAGACAGCAGTCAGTGTCCGGTCAGGCTGAACGAGGTCTATATGCACTATACAGGATCCCTACTTACTAGGTGTGACATTGGCGCAGAGCGGAGAATAGAGGCTGCTGATTAACAGCGAGGTCTCTTTCTATGACACGCGTTTACTGTATGCTGCTGCTTGAGGCCGGTAAGGCGGTACAGCGAGCTAAAACCACTCTCCCAGTCTCTGCAGCAACAGTTCGAATGCAAAACATCTGATTTCAAGAAAAGAGCCCAAACCAAACCTTTTTTTAATTTAAAAAGGCGGCGAGAAGAAATTACGTGTAGGGTGTTAACGGGAGAGAGGTTGTTCACTATCGTATCTGAACGCAATCAGGGAGATAAGGGAAATTAAAATGTTAGAAATATTGTCCCCTCAGTAATGCGGAACATACTATACATGATTGATATGAGCAGAAACGGCAGAAGAAACGGGTATTAAAAGCGACAGGTGCATTGCTATACGCTGCATTACAGAAGGGCAGCAACAACAGAGAGAGAGACGCTCGGAATTTTGCAGCTGTGCGCGGTCTGGCTGCAGATACTGTAGCTCCCCCTCCCAGTTTTCACGCACCAAAAGCTTTCCAGTCCACGCTGAACCACACTAAAATATCAGGGAACCAAACAGTCCACTCACTGCCGTGCACATCACCCCCACCTCACACACACTGACAACGCTTTCCTTCCCGACAGGTGCCAGCGCTTAAACACCGAATACAGTACGTGCACAGTACGCGAGAGAGCTACGCCCGTTTTTGCAATGGGTTCACCCTGGAACTGTAACGAATGCCTAACACGAGTACTAAACAGAGGCGATCACGTTTCTCACAGTCCTTGACTTCTCCTGCGAACACAAGTTGCCACAATTCCCACACACAAAAATGAAGGACAATATTCCAGTCTGGGCATTGCAAACGCGCCGCTTTTACCTCCCTAGAGAGCAAGCGACAATAAAAAGGTGATGTACAGACTGCTTCTACGGCACTGGGGACACTCGCACCCCACGATCTCGCCAGGGGAGCACTCGTCAGTCTTGATGCGGTCCGGACTGGGCCTGGGAAATAATTACACAACTTCCTCTTTCCGCCGTGACATTAGGACTGAGCGCTCTGATCTGTCGCGCGTCGCTTCCCATTTGAAATTCTTATTAACAGCCGCACCACATAAACACAGGCGCGGCGGAATCTCAGCCAGCGCCAGTGGCTCATGGTAGCTTCCCATCGCGGCATAATGCATTGGAAACTGCTGGATAAATCTCACTACATAATACATGACATCGCCCTCCCTGCACAAATACATACTGTACACCTTTCTTTCAGTACAGATACAATCATTTAAAAAGAGGCAGTAAAAAAAATCAATATATTGTCTTCATCACAGATAGGAGTTTTATACGTTTATTTTAAAAATATTTAACCTCTAAAAAAATTGAATTAACTGTTAAAGGGTTTACAGTATTAAACCTGAAAGTAAACAACTATTATTGACATGCAGAAGCGAGGCTCGGAAGGGATGCTAGCTGGCTCGGGGACGCGCAAACCTCCCCTAGCTCCACAGTTGTCGTCGCTCTGCCGTTAACGCGCCTCATGCCTTTTGAAACATCACAAGCGAGAGACCGTGAGGCGATACACCCGCGGCCCAGCCCAGTTCGGATCTGCAAAGGTGAAACGGAATCAGGGAGCACAAACGCAGTAAACAGCAAGCATTATTACCCTTTACCAGCGCCACCTCGGTACAGGTGCATGCGTTAAGATGGAACAGCTTCCTAAAGACAGAGGCGGCGACCTGCACGCATGCCGAAAGAAGGAGAGCGCTCAGCCCCGGCTCCAGTAGTGGTGATGGGGAGGAAGCAGAGACCGGGACACCAACTTGAAAGCACCACAGAATCCCAACTTTGCAATCAACGAGAGACACGTCTCGACTTCCCTACAGACAGGGCGTGATACAATTAAAACTAATCGGCGGTCTTACCTCTCTGCCATGTTCCCGGCGTTTCCCTGTTAAAATCCGTAATTAATAATCCCTGGAATGCAACCCATGGTGCCGAAGGATCCGCCGCCGCAGTCGGTCGCTTCTCTTGCTGATGGAGCATGCACTGGCTTTCCGCGTCTCCGTCACCACCGACAACCTGACGTCACGCAGCCCCCCGAGGGCGAGCACGCACGGATAACTCAAGCGTTGTCATGGAGGCACGGCAACGCCACCCTGGGAACTCTGGGAATTGCAGTATTGGTGGTATACCAAGACTGCAGTGTAGTGTGCACTCTCTAACTCATGCATATCCGTCACTTGGTCTTCACAAAATCTTTTGGCAAACAACAATATGAAAAAAGCTAAAACAGCTACACTGCCATTATGATATCAAATCATGCAAACCCCAATGAATGGGCTAATGAAGCCCACTGAACCAAATCACTACGAATGAATTATTATGAATGGATATTCCCATTGTTTGAAAGACTCCGGAGCGCCCTTGGTTTTCAACAGTTTAGTGAACAGTGCAAGAATTTTTTTATTTTTGTGCTTCGTGATATACTGTATCTGTGATTAGCAATGAAACAACGAAGAAGACAGAAATTGAAACACGTCTTAAAAATTAAAGACCAGGATGTTTGTCTGAAGTGGACTGTTAAATTGCCATCAGGTTTATCACTGTCAGTTCTGTCAAACGTACACCTTTATAGTCTAAATGTTTTGAATTAAACGGAATACTTTCATGACTAATGTATTCTAATGCAGCCATAGTGCGTTCTGGCGCACAGTACCCACATACTGTAAAACAGAGATAAAAAACATTATATTATAGTAGTTAACGTAACTATCCGAAAGTAAAAATTTCCGAAATAATAAATAGTAATTTCAAAGATACTATATTTCTATAAAATATAAAAAGTTATATACCGAATTTAATGGTTTGATTAGACTCTCGTGGGAATGTATTACATTGGTGTAATAAAGTGATTCAATTTATTTAATTTTGAATATTAAACAGGCCTCCTCCATTTTTAATTTTAGATTTAATTAAATATTACGCTTCATTTTGAACTCAGAACATAAGTATTGTTTTTTAAATGTTATGACTAAAAGCATACACAAGCCAATGGATTTCTAGTGACTATAACATGTACAGTATGGGATAATTTAATAGTGGTAACCACCAAATGTTTAATTAATATCTGAAACAAAATTACAAATTATAAAATGTTCATTGCTTTCGAACACTGAAATGGGCTCTAAAATTTATGTATCCCATAAAAAAAATTGAGTCTATTTAGATGACACTCTGGACGACATTCGGATGACATTCCGATATTCAGTCGGAACCAATGAAATTGGTTCTTAGTTTCCCTTCTCTAGTGTTACAGACGTTCCGTCCCCCCTTACCCAAAGTAAACATTACGTAGAAAGTGGTTTTCGCAGCTGGCGTTTTTATGTTTTGAGGGAAAGGACTGTTGTTTTTCTTTAGCACCAGGAATCTTTCTGATTTGGACAAATTTTACGAAATCAGAAAGGGGATTCTATTCTTACTAAACCGCTGATTTTAAGCTGGTTATAAAAAAAACATAACGTAAGAACGTTTTCACGTTCTTACATTTTTGTGGGGAGAATTACTTTAGGTAGTACGAACACCATCTAGCGACTCGGGCTTTGCCCTTTGTGTAAATTTGATATGCTCTTTCCTTTGTGGGTACGTCGGTTGAAGAGGGGCGTCCTGTTTAGTGCCGTGCGGATAGCAGCCTGCAGCGTTCGGGGAAATGTCACTTACACTCAGGGTCAAAGCCCAGAGCCTCGCATTCGGGAATACTTCTACTATATCGACCACCAAGGCCAGGTGACTCGGGCGCGTTGAAAGCAAAATTTGAAACCAGCCCGTTAAAGCAAAAAAAACAACAACAACAGGTTTTATTAAACGTTACATTGTGATGTTCACACTTATTTTTTCTTAATTTTCTGAGAGAAATTTCGTTGTGAAATGTTTTTACTTATGAACTTTAAAATGGTAACATGGTAATTCTGCAGCAAACGTAAAAGAAGCAAAAACAATGAACCAACTACACAGAGCTTAAAGTGTATGGTTTTTATTCTTTAAAGAATGCTTACATGTATAAAAAAGGGTAATTAAAACACATTTGGAAAAGAAAACCTAAGTATTTTCTCAGTTTAATAAACAATGAAGGAACAACGGATACGTTATAAAATATACAAGAATGATCTTTCTACTGGTTCTGAAGGACTTGATAATTTTTTGACAGGTTAAATTAAAGTGTAGCTGATTTAAAGTCTTTTACTGTAGTACTGTTTTTTTTATTTGGAAGCGTCTTTTTTTAGCATTTCTAAATTATCTTTGCCAATTAGTATTCAGTCAGTGGTATGTGTCAATGTGAGAGTGCCTGTGGCCACATTCAGCATCTTTCATGTTGATGTGTATCCTATGCAGCTCTTCTTAGATGACACCAGAGTGAAGAACTTCATCACTTGTTTCAAAGGTACAGTCTTGTTGTGCCCATGATATAACGCTCTTGTCTGCAGACTTCTGACATATTTTCTATATATATACTTCATATATTTAGCATATTATACTTTTGTATATTATATATATTATATATATATTTCTTATTGGAGGATGAACAAAAATGTTGATTGGTATTATAATAGCTTTACTTCTGACAAATTTCACTGATGAAATGTGAACTGGGGATCTACATAAAGGAGTTAATTTTTTTACAACTGTGGTATTAAATGTGAAATCTAAAGTTAGCAGGCATATGGTGGTTTAAAGGCATATAATATGGTTTACATTTCTAATATAAGGTCTAAAAATACTGCTGTTCACATAGTGCACACAAATAAAGTGCATTTGTGGTAAAACAATTCTCAGCACTAATGTGAAATTAGTAACCATGACGAATACATATGCAGCACAACAATAAACACACAGGCAATTGAAAAAAACAGACAATAACCACATACAGTATAAACATTTTAAAATGAAAACAAATGTCCTTAAAATTGGATCAGGTGATTTTTATTATCTTACTTTGGCTCCACCTTTCCACAGATCAGCACTTCCTGGTTTTCTTCTTCAGCCGGCTGTGCCGGAATGAGACTGGGCGCTATCAGGACTCCTTCCCCTTCCTGTCTCTCTGTGGCCGCGAGCGAAATTTTGTGCGCTGTGACGACCGACCAGTCGTCTTCACGCAGATCCTGGGTGCTGAAGAAGAAGAGAGGGGTGGAGAAGTGGTCAGTGAGGCTGCAGAGCTCCTCTCTTTCTGCGGTGGGGGCAAGAAACTATCTGTTCCCTTCCGCCCCCAGTGTCTCTTTATGCAACCCAAGACTGGACGACTGTACCATCCCAGTCCCGAACGGGCAGGGGCTGTAGGACTGGTGCGCTCTGCTCTCGCCATTGAGCTCAGCTCCTGCTTTGAGTACGCTCCTGGTCAGGCCCAGACTGGCCAGCCCACTCATTTCCACTGGGCAGGCCTGCGTCACAGACTTACTAATGAGCTGGCCGTCCACTTCACACTCGATCCAGGAGCTCAGCCCAATGAATGAAGTCTTGGGGACATAGTGAGCTCAGAGAGATTGATGCCTGCACTTTATCTCTGTCTGGATCACTTGATAATAAAGAGTAAAGATGTTGTGTGGTAGGCTTTGATTTAGTAATAATAAAATAATCTGGTTGTTCTGTAGATTGCGGGGCTCTGGCTACAGTGGTGTCCCAGTACTGAGTATCAATACCAATGATCTTCAGTGATAATTTTGGTCTTCACGCCTTAGGTCAGTATGCCCTGAATTCTGGAAATCTAAATGATGACCATGTCATAGAGCAAAGTATACATAAAGAAACTAGAAAGCACATGTCACTGATTCAGACAGTCTTCAAATATTGCAGTACTGCTAAGTAAAACAAAATAGAATTATACCTTAGTCTCATGTATTTTAGAATTTATAGTGCTTTTTGCTTTTCAGTATGCTGGAACTGTTGCGTTATGTATGTTTCTGTTCATGAAACAGTGCAGTTTCAGTAGTTTTGAAGAAGAATTAACGTTTTAGGGTATACAAAGGAAGATGGTGTTGCACAAAGGTGAAAGGTCCATTGGTGAAGAATTAAGATTTATACTGATATACTGAAAATATACTTTTCTTAAATCTTTTCAGATGTGAATCATTTTCTTTTCTAATTTACATCCTCTGTAACTTTCCAGCAATTGGTTTGTGAGGAAACGTTTTGAATTTAATTTAATAGTGTATTCTTGTACAATCTACATGTAGTTGCTGCTCAAATAATTCTGATTGGATAATATGGGGTAACAATTACACAAGTTTATTTATTCATAAGGACCTCATCCTCACAATGATAATGACTTATTTTTATTTTTTAATTTTAAATGTGGAATTGTTACTTTTATTTTATGCATCACTTTATACCTTATCATTTTGGAATTACCAGTTCTTACCTGTGCAACAGACCAGCACAGGGGAAATAGGGTAGCTAATAGGGTAGCTCACATTACAATAATATCCTTCATTAGAAAGCAAAAGTTCTATAGCAACCTCTAGCCTGTCCTGGAAGGACAGGGTTCAAGGCAGGACTACACCTTCAATGGGAATTAAATAATACAATACCAAACATGTCTACTACAAGTCTACTAATTGTCTACAGGACACTCTTCATGCTTGGGCAAACATAAAAACAAGGAATATTTAAAAAAAACATATTACAGTTACAAAGAGCAAAAATAAGGGCTTACTTTTATAAATCATTATCTAAAAAAGTAAGCCTTTAATTTGATTTGAAAACAATTTAGTATCCTGGTTTCTAATGTGAATTGGGAGGGAGACTTTAAAACAGGGAGCATAGCAGCTGAAAGTCTTGTCAGTGTCAAATGACCCCTGGATTCAACCAATAAATCACTCTTTGCTAAACTCACTGAAAAATCTGTCTGATCTCACCTGGCAGATGAGATTTTATGCAGATCTGAGTATGGTTTTGCATGTAGGTAGTAAAAATATTCTGTGAACTAAAAATACAAAATGGGAAAAGCTGAGCTAGTAGAGGCAACCTCAGAAAAAGACGGTGATGTTAAAGAGGTTTTCATGTCTACACATTATTATGTTGGGCAAGGTGGGAGAACAATAAAAATGCAAAATGGTAAGATAAATTGTCAAAGGTGTAGAATTAAAATCCATTCTGTTATGTTAAAACTCGTTATGTTAAAAATTGTGTCTAGCAGTAGAAAAGCCTCATTTAGAATGGTGTGCATGATTTTGGTCACAAAGTTACAGAAAATATATTGTTGCTCTTCCCGAAAAGAGCAACCAAAGCATCTGGGGCTTAAGATGCTTTCTGGGACTGTCCTACACTGACAGAGGAGACTGAGGGTATCTGATGCAAATATTTTAAATCCTCAAAAACATTTACAGCTGAATGATATACCTGAATAAATTAATTAAAAACTACAAAATGGTCCTTTCTTATGTACAGTACTTATACTGTATATTGCTACTGTTGCTACCTTGAAGTCCATTAAAAACTGAACAGACAGCCAATGTAGACTACTGCATGAAGTGATGTACAGTAGAGAGTTAAGTACAGGTCTTCTGCCTGGGAGCAACATTCTAAACAAGCTGGAGCCTGTTGGGGTTGCTATTAGTCATACTACCAAAGAAGGAACCACAGTGGACAGGAAGATATACAGTATATAAAGGCATGAATCTGCATTAATGCATCCTTCAAAGGCAGGTTTGGACTTCATTAATATTTCTAAATTAACAGAAATTCTTTGCTGTTTTAGAGTATAGTTGGGTAAGCATTACAGGGTCACAGAAAAGACAAAAGCAGTCTTACGTTTTGACATTTGTGACCGTGCTAACTTTGTCTCTTGTGGCAAGGGATTGTCACCTAATTGAGAGCCTACTGACAACAGACAATAAGTGAATATGATCTTTTTGGCATTTATTGTGATCCATATATGGCAATATAAGTAAACATTAGACAAATTCCATACCTCATCACTTTCACTTTAACATAAGTGTAAGAACCACCCAGTCACCTGGATTCTTCTGTTCTGTAAACTGAATATGACCGCACTCCATCTATAATCCGATACACACATGGGAGGTCTATCTATTCAGCATAATTCAGTGGAGTGAAGCTTTGAATCAATAAACCATCCATCCGTTTCCTAACTACTTCATCCAGTTCAGGTTCACAGAGGAGACAGCCTGCACCAGCCAGCAGTGGGCACCAGCCCATCGCAGGACACTCACACACCAGGGCCAGTTTTCTCAGAAGCCAATTAACCTGTATGTTTTTTGATGTGGGAGGAAACCAGATCAGCTAGAGGAAACCCACTCAAACACTGGGACAACATACAGACTCCACACAGACAGCACCCTAGGTCTGGAATTGAGCCAAGCTAAGCACTGCAGCACCTTTTCTAATTTCCTTTTTTTTTGTAATTTTCTTAAATGGGAACTTTACACTGGTGAAGCTTACAAGCTTCCTTATACATGTCCTTATCAATGGCTAATTTTTATAGGAATCAGAAACATGCTATTTTTACTCATACAAAAGTACAGATATAAATGAGCAATAGTTTCATAAGCATAATTTTGATCATTTTCAGGGCTGAATCAGACCTTTGTTATATGGCAACATATGAAAGTTGTAAACATCCACTGAAAGGATGCAAATATTATTTAACATAATGCTTTTATTATGTTGAACAGCCATTTAAAGCATAAAAACTGAAAAGCATTTGACAGGAGTACATTGGCTCAGCAAAATGAGTACAATTAGTGGTCAATTACAAGTCAGATCTGATACACTATGTATCAAATAAGAATTATACAGGAAAAGTTTAAGACCCTTTTATACACCCTTCTCCATTACTGCCTTAGCAGCAAGATGTATCCATTTTATGCTGATAAATACACATACAACACAGTACATGCAAACAGTGTAAGCATTTATTAATAACATTGGCAAACAACTTAATCACAAATGGAAAAACATGTTCAAAACACAGTGCATTATGAAATAATTTAAATCAATTTTCCGGAAGGAGGTAGAATCCACATTGACAGCTGTGCAATAAAATTAGTCTCATTGTTTTTAAATGGAAAACAAAACCAGAGCAGCTCAGAAAAATATTCAAAGGGGGCAACAGAAAAGTCACAATATAAGGACAAAGTAGTTCAACATTTTGTATTGAACCTTTAGGCTAACTGTGTTCTAGAGGTCTCATTCTTACGGTTTAACAGTGCTTTAGCACCATTTAAATGTTTAAATTCAGTCTCCACTCGCCCAGCTAGATCATCTAGTAGATGTTGAAATTTAATATAAAGTTCCTATTCCATTTGTTCATCCTCTGTTGACTTTCAGGGTACTGAGCGTTCACTGTTCAAATCTATTAATTATTCCCTGAATTTACTTTGTGTTGCTCTTAATGAAACAGTAGTAGGAAAGTAAATGTGAATTTAATCCAAGTGTAGAAAAGCTACTTTGGGCCAATCTGACTATAGTAGGATGTAGCACTCTTTGGATGAAACATTGACCCAAGGTTCTGACTTTTGGTCACTAAAGCTCCCATGGTTATAGTTGTAAGAGCAGGGGTAAATTATCCCATTGTCCTATTAAATTCCCCTTTTGGCCTGCACAATCCAAGTGACCTAAATTTCCTTAATCCAACTGGTGATGTTTCTCTCATCTCTACCTGATCTAGTGTTTATTGAGGCTTCTGTACATCACCCAGCTGCGAGCTGCATTTGAATGATACATGAATTTTGCTCTCGCTTATATGTGAATCACTTTGGGAAGAAAGGAGCTGTAGAAATGCAAGCCATTGAAACCCAGAAATTCAACAGGGCTATTCAGCTATTAAGTCCACAGCGAGGAATGCACAGAGCGGCAGTGCAGACTGATATTACACCAATTAATTTAACTACAACTATGTATTTAAAAACATACACGTTCTCCAAGTCCTGTATATAAAACTGAGCATCACAGAAAGACATTTTTTTACATCACCACACTATATAAACATTTATATACATAGTGCATATAGTGTGCTTTCAAGTATTACAAAGTGAGATCATAAACATAGACCATTCATATCATCATGATATTTAGTCTTCAATAACACACCTTGTAAATTAATGTTTAGAAATAATTCATAGCTGCAGTTTTGATCTTGTGTAAATAATCGTAAACCACTGAAAAAAAATCAGTGTGAATAACCTTAATTGCCAAATTGAGAGACATGTTTAAGACGTTATGAATTCCATTTCTTATGGTGATCTGCCGGTCCACCTTTGACAAAAGAAGTAGGATAAATACTTCTTGAAAGTATCAATGGCTGATGTAACTTGCAGAGAGCTAACAATGTTGTTTTTCATGCAATTAAAACAAAACTGCTTCTTGTCTGCGCATATAACTCTATAATTGCAAAACCTTCTGATTACATTTACATCTGATACAAGAGGTAAATTCAATCTTTGTGGTTTCCCTCCTCGGCTCTTTCTTTTTTAAACAAATGTTGGAATCCTTCATTTTATCAATTGGTTAACTGATAGATTTGAACTACAATGTTGCACTGCAGAACATTTAGGGGCTGATGCTATGACCGACCTTCTGCTTCAAAATGACCCTGCAAAATTTAAATTGCCACAATGCCCTACATCAGAATAATAGATATGCAATTTATTTAAGGTACCATAAATCTTAAACATCACCATGTGCATTGGGTTCTTTAGCAGCAAAGTCATCAAAACACACTGTAACACCTGTTCCATAAAATGAAGTAGTCCTTAAATGTGCAGCACTATTTCCTGGCCAGTAGGCTTTTCTTTTGTTCATAGCAATAAAGATGTTACCAAAAATTATAAACCAAGAGCTGTTAGAAGAATCCCATTAAATACCTCCTTCACTGAGCAGGAAGAGAAATGAAACTACTTTTGTTTGTTTGAAACTGTTTGTTTTTACCTATGATCTCCATAATACATCTTCTTTTCTCAAATGCATATTCATTTCATGTGCGTGCTGTCCTGTTGTGTCAGTATTGTTATGTGTCTACAAAAAATGTGGAGTGTTATCTTGTTATGACCCTTATTCCATTGTCTTGCAAACCCTACATCTACATCTTGTCTACATCTTGTTAATTAAATGTTAACAAACTCATTCTGCTGAGACAGAATCTTTCAGTGTGGGCCAGAAGGTTTGAGGTTGTCGCTTACGATACAAAGACAAAATGCAAGGTTCATTTTTGTGGCGCGTCCTTACGTTACAGCTAAACTCAGCACAGCAGAGAGCTCTTTACAGATGCATCTGCCAACATAAGGAAGTAAATAGTCTAAGAGGTCAAACAGACCTCTGCAGGTATCGGGGGTCAATGTAGGCAGGAGGACCAATACGCAAGTAATGAAAATGCGGCAGCTGGCAGGTAAGAAATCAAAGCAGAAGTGACAAAGCAGAGCAGGTCTGCATCAGGAGCAGGAGGGGGGATTGTCCAACATTCTCCCAACAGATGACGGTGTGCCAGATGGTCTGAACCAATTCTTCTAAGGCACAGCCAGGGATAATGCCCCCCATTCCCAAGACACCTTGTGCCTCACAAGACTGCACCCTGACATCCTCAGCCTGATCAATATAACTAATATCAAAATCATAGTGCAGATAAGTGAAGTCACAAAGGCAACGTGTCATTGTTGCCTATTTGTATGCTATTCTCTGTGCATTGTTGCACCTCAGTCTTTAAGATGCAGTTCCAATAAAACCAGCGTATATCAGCACAGAATAGCAAAAATACATTGTGATATACAACTGTTGATGCTCTGAGTTAAATGAGAGCTATGTAAAGGCGTGTGCTTTTGTACTGGATCTGCCAATAATTTTCACGTTGTAAGAAGAGGTATAAAATTATTCAATGGGTTTGCACCTGCACCTGCCCCAGCACAGGGCAAAATCCTAACACCTCATTTTCAGGTTTTGCACTTCTAAGTCTTCCAGATCCCAGCCCATTCCCACATTTTACTCTTAATTTACTCACATTCCAAAGCAAATTGCATAGTTTAACAATGACAAGGTGCTAATTTGATAGTGGGAACAGAAGGTCGGGTTAACACCATTTTTGACATACGCTGCTCTCTTTGATTATTTTATAATGGTTTTAGCCACATTATCACAGCTGCTAATCATTTTGCACCTAATCTGTCAGCTTCCCCTAAACATTTAAGAATGTCTCATCTCACCTCAATGAGGCATTTCATTTCAGCTTTTCATTTAATGAAGATTTAAAACCTTGTAGGACAGCGACTTCATATGCATTAAAGTGCTCTTAGTTTTTTGCCATCTGAGAACCCTTCAGCACGGTATGTTCCCTTTGAAATTTTGTAGTGCAGGATACAATCACATTACATAAAAACCTTTATATGCGGATCTATCATAAACCCAACACAGCCCACAAGCACATAATTTTCAAGGGAGCTGGTCATCATTAACAAGAAGCGTCATGCTCTCTGAAACAAGGAATTTGCCGACCAGCGATTCAGAGTAAGAGACTACAGTCCTCATTTAATCTTACTGGGCTCTGAATGGACATGTGCCAGCACATTTTCTGATAAGATGCTTGCGAAAGAAAGCTGATTTATGCTCTGACCCGGGGAATTACAGTAGCTAGGTTAGGACAATCCATTGGTACAGTATCTCTCCTGTATGGAGCTGCCTCCTCTATGGTCTTTAACCCGTAATACAGAGCCCTCTCACTGCAACTTCCCATCCGGGCTGTTTTCTGCCTTCAGAGCTTGGCTGCTGGCGTTGTTGTAGCTTATCCAATGCTGCAGCTCCTCAGAGAACTCAGGACTCTCCACCTAGAAGGGATACAGAGAAACAGACCTCATGTCATTAAGGCCAACCCTTTTGTTCTTGCGTATAGCACGTTATTGTATGCTTTCTCCAGGGCATTCTATTGGCACTTTCTGCTCAGACTGAAACAAGAGGCATATCATCTTGTAACTACCTCTGAGTTTACATATCCACTTACTGAAAGACAGCACATTTATATTTAAACTTAATGGTTTCCAAAAACAAATGTATGAGAAAATTGCTCATCTGTGAATGATGGGGTTTACAGAATACATAGAAGACAGGGTTTCAAGTATTGAAGTACTGTATATACAGTACAAGAAAAATGTAAGTCTTTCCAAATGCAGGCCAATTGTCTTCATGCATTTGTATGGCTAAAGTATACAGTAAGAGTTTATGAAGAGCCATCTTCCTGAAAATCAGCAGAAGAAATGATTATATGTATTTTGATTTAATCACTTTCCTAATTGTTTCAGTATTTTGTTCCCATGTACTGGCCTCCATCAGTAAAGTGTTACACAGGGGAAAACATACTATTGGAATGAAAGGTTTCTGATTATATATACACCTGCAGTGACAAGAAAATATTTGTGAACACTCTACATTGGTCTGTATTCTGTATATATTTGTTCTAAAACATAAATAGATATATAAGAAAGTTTGATTAAATGTTTACAAGAAACCTGATTGTGTACAACACAAGGACATAAGATACATCTGGATCACTTAATTTAAAAAAAACAGTATATTCTCACAGCGTGCCTCCTGACCATCCTGAGGCTCAGCCCGGACAACCACGGAACGGCCAGTGTGTCCAAGTGCCAGAACTTTCCTTTGTTCTAAGAGTGTAGAGCGGAGGTTGCCAGAGAGTAACCAGAGGATCCACCCGAGGTTAGCACCAGCAGCAGGCCTCATAAACAGGTCGGAACTGTGGACAGCTGAATCACTATTCAGAACTAGCGCTTCATCAGGAACGAACTGGTCCTCTTCCTGAGTTGCTGGGACCCACAGTCATCTTTTCTCCTGTGCGCAAACTTTGCTAGTTAAAGCCAACACTAACTAGCCGGTCAGTGAGCATCTGCAGCGCACTGTCGCAAACTGCACAGCACAGCCTGGCACCTAGCCAGAGAGCGCGGATTGGACAGCAACAGCCTGCAACGGTTTCTTTGAGCCCGCAGGAGATCTGAATCCCCAGAGATTGGATGAGTATTCAACTTCACTGCATTACTGCTCGAGAATTCAATTGTTATCCCAACCAGTTGATATCAATTTAATTCCTAAGAGTTATGTACTTGTTTTGAGTATCTAATGTAGAAGTTGTAACCAAGTTCACAGTATGAAACGGTCTTAATGAATGATATACTGAACATATGTCCTCTTGATATATGTAACACTTCGTAACTGACTGAATATATACCTTTTGTATTCTGATAACCCTCTCGATAAGACCTGTTAGGTTTATATGCATATTCTATGTATTAATAAATGTATCCTCGTGTATTAGCACCTGTGTGTGTGCGTTGTTTGAGCTATATCGCATGGTTGGATTCTAAAGCCATCAAAAGAATAATTTTGTGATTTACTGCTACAATTAATAATTGTCCCAGTAAATGCCTAAACCGTACAGAACTGGTGCCTTCAGAGAGCACACTACAGGTGGTTAGTGGATAAGTTATTCAAGGATCTCACAAAGCCTTTTCTTGAAAGAAGCCAACAATGTAGCTGGTGTTTTGGCTAGCATACTAGTGATCCTAAAACACTTTACCTTTCATACACATACACAGTAAGACACATTTTCAATGGGTTATAATGGCATACCGTAGCTGCTTGAAATGTATTTTTCCATGTAAATTAATCTTTTCATGAAAACAAAGCACAATCTCTTTGCAATGTTGCTTTTCAAAATTAATACAGCTTCTATCAGTCATTAGACAAATTGTTCTGTGTAAATTAAAAACTGACATTAACTTATATTTCTCTTACTTACATTAGATCACGTAGAAATGGAAAAGCTGCCATGCACAAGGAATGACCAAATGTGGACATGTGGACTACACTATGACTGTGTCAGTTTAACTTTTAGATACTGTATGTCTTTGAACATGATGTAGACGTGTTAGGTTTCAGAATTTATATTCAGATGTAGGTTTAATTAGATCAAGGAAATAGTATTTTCAGACAGGATAGACCTGTTCAGTCTGGCCTCAACTACATTCGCGGTGCGGTGGCCTGTGGCTGAAAGGTTGCCGGTTTGTATACTGCGGTCAGCAGAGGAATCCTACTCTGTTGGGCCCCTAAGCAAGGCCCTTAACCCCAACTGCTCCAGGGGTGCCGTAAAAAGCTTCTCTCCTGGTCTGTGTTTTTAATGAAGAGCAAGTTAAGGTATGTGAAAAGACAAATTCCTAATACAAGAAGTTGTACTGTATATGGCCAATAAAGTGATCTTATCTTATTCCCTAGGAAGGTATGGGTAACGTCCTGTTGTCTCAATTCACCTGACCAGCTGGGAGAAGACAATTGGACAGAAGACTGAAAAAACAAGGAAGCTGAAGCACCTGGGGAAAAAAGACAGCTCCCCTATATTTCATCTCACTAGTGGGGGAAGGAATGACCAGTGGATGGACTCCATGAAGTGTGAATGTTTTGGGGGAGTCTGAGAGAGAACCTTTTTTCATGAAGAGCCTGAAAGGGAGACTTTACTACAAAAAGTGTATTTTTTGTATAATAAAGTAACTTTATTCCTTTATTATGCAGCTGGTAATCAGCTTAGCTGTCTTATAGTGAGGGAACAGAAGACGGTGAGTTAGTAGCCTAAAGAGCATTTTGGTTGTGGAGTTTCCAAGCACTGTAAATAAAGAGCACTAGTTGTGTACCACACGGATGTTTGTGTGTCAGTTATTCTAGAGCAGTCTATAAAAGAACACCCTTTTGGCACACCAGCCCTGTCTGTGTCACATTCGAAATTAGAAAGCGACTGGTGATTTGCAATCCAATTGCAGTAAAAACAAGTCCCCTGTTAACCCTACAATATGATGGGGACAGCGGGTCCTCCTCAGTACCTTTCTCTTGCAGAGGTGCTGCATGATTTGGTCTGGGCTGCTGCGCAGGATGTTCTGGCGGCACAGCATGATGGCGGACAGGAAGCCGTCGACCTTGGAGACGAAGCGCTGCTCCACAAAGAAGGCCTTGTCGTCCCAGGCCAGCACACGGCTGCGCAGCTCAAAGGGCTCCCCCAGATGCAGCGAGCGGCGATAGCGAACGGTGGAGGCCCCCACCACCATGTTCGCCCCCAGTGCCCGCGCTGCCTTGAACATGCCGTTGCGGGTATAGAGGGAGAAGCGGGCGAAGTCGCATTCGCGCAGGTAGCGGGCGTTGTTCATGTGGCCCATGAAGTCGATATCGTGAGGGAGCACCCGCCCGCTCCTCCTCTGCTCCGCCAGTACATCCCACACTGGTGGCTGAAAGTAGGCGCGCAGGACCACCACTGCCCCTCGCAGGAAGTACCACACGTCTGTGTTGGAGAACAGCAGCAGCAGCACAGCAAGTATCCAAAGCCACATGTCTCTGGGAAAGGACAAAGAAACAAAACACTTAGTCTAGATTTGCATTCTGTGCTGCCTAAGGACATAGAAAGATTGCTTTATTCAGCAAAGGGTAACATGCAGCTGCAACTATCAGGGACAGCCCGAACAAATACAGTCATGCAATAAGGCGCAACAATTGCCAGGCTCTCTCCTGAGTAAATCTGAGGAGCTTTAACATGGAAGTTGAACAAGTTGAGTGGACACAAAACAGAACCTGTCGCACTGTTACACAAAGAACCTGTCTGACCGCTAGACCCCGCTTCTCACTTTTATTTTCAGCAGATCAAGCAATCTTTTATTATTATTATTATTATTATTATTATAGAGCTTTTCTGGACAATCTACTTGAAGCTCTTTACAGGTAATGGGAACTCCCCTCCACCACCACCAGTGTGTAGCATCAACATCAACAGCATTGATTTCAAAGTGCACCAGCACTTACCACTTACCACACACCAGCTCTCAGTGAGGAGGAGAACAGAGTGATGAAGCTCATAGATGAGGATTATTAGGAGGCCATAACTGGTAAAGGATGGGCCAAAATTTGACCAGGACGCCGGGGGTGAACACCTCTATTCTTTTCGAGAAAATCAGAACCTCAGTTTTACATCTCATCCAAAGGACAGCACCTTTTTTACAGTATAGTGTCACCATCACTATACTGGGGCATTAGGACCCACATAGACCGAAGGGTGATTTTGAGGTTTTCTGTATTCCAAATAGTCTTTCTGTTGTATTGTCTGGGTACACCAAAAAATATGACCACTCACATAAATATACTGTATGCACTCACGTATTTTATATTTTTTTTAATTATAAAATCACCTGGTGCCAATTATAGATAGTGCAAAAACAAATAAAGTAAGTTGTTTTAGCTAGAATTACAATTATATCACTATATGTATAGTCACTAAGAATTTGTGGTCATTAATGCTTAACACAAGAGAGAACTGGTGAATTGCAACAATTTCACTGAATATTATTGATTTCATAACTTAAGCCGAACATAGATAACTTTCTATAGTGTTGCCTAACAATGTTGGTACCTAGGCTTCACCTGTGCCAGGAGATTAGTACAAGAGCATTCTGCATGTACATCATCGAATATATTTTTTATACTACATAGGTGCACGCACTCAATATAAATAGCTTAATTAAAAATAAAAATAGCTTAAATAATCTATTTTTCTTCATATGTTTTTAAGTTCTCTGACAGGTTTTGTTTCATTAATACAAAAGGGAAAAGTAATCAGTTTAACCGGGAATGGGTTAAGGTAGATCACAATTTCTATCCAATGTCCCCCCATACACTTACACTACAGCAGTGATCTGCGCGGTTTTAGAATATAATGTGCTACAGTATATCAAAGTTCAGATGTACTTAATGGATCGGAATATTTTTTCAACATTAATTGTAGAATTTTAGTGACATTTTTATTACATTAGTTTTATTTAAAAAGCCTGTGTAACAGTGGTGGTGAAGAGGTCAGGGATGAATGAGAAGTGGTTGTATCTAACATTCAAAATCAAAAGATATTTAACAGCCGCAACGTGCATTTACGTCACCAGCACCATAGACACTAAGCTTCACAAAGCAGTAAGGCCTGCCTCAAGTGACAAATCTCGACTGAAATTTTACAGCACTAAAGTCGTAAAACGCAATGAAGAATGGCGCTTTCGAATATTTTTAATACCAGTACCCCGTAGCGTAATGTTAAAAATCCCACTGTAAACCACATTCAAATCCTTACAACATGGATTACTTCCGTACACCACCAAAAAATCAGATTTCTAACTCCGCTCAAGAATTTTCACCTGCTGCCTATGTGAGCCCTGCCTGACAGTATACGGTTTGTATTTTACCAGTTATGTGATCTTACATTTCCATTAGGTAACGCTGCACCAGACCAGAACCTCCGACGGCTTGTGCTAACAAAGCAGGTTTTTCAGCTGCCTGTCATACTCATCATAAGCTACTGTGGTAGCGGAAGCAGTAGCGTGAAGCTAGCTACATTAAGTGACGCTGGCTTGGCAGCACCTTTCAAAATAAAAGTCCCTAAATCCTGCCTCATAAAAAATAATCCTGGACCAAAGTCACATTTATAGCACAACAACAATTTGTGCATCCTCAGAACTAGGTAGAATGTGATAAATAGACCCACAGGTAATAGGAAACTGCCGTTCTTCATTATTTTTTTAATCTTATCTTATCACTTCCTCCTTGCAAATTGACACAGAGCTGTGCACTGCTAGACAGGAAAAAGTCTCATTCCTGACAGAATAAAACGTGTGCCTCTCCAAAAGTAGTTCAAATCTATTCTACAGACCCACTAATAGAAAATCACCACGATTTTCTCAGATAAGTGTCTCTGTCAAAACTGCTGGGGTTTATAGAGCACCTCCCATTCCCAGACTGGGACCGTGCAGTGATGGGCAGGGAGTGGTCTCACCCCCATCCCGACCAAACAAACATTTGTGCCTCTCCAAAAATACCTGAAATAACTGTAACTGTTCAGTGGCTCCAGGTTTTTTTGTGTTTCATGAATATTGGCATTCTCAACTGTGAATACATGGTTTGGCCAACATATGTCTCTGTCTGATACCTCCTTTATTTGTAGAAAACAAACACAATCTATGCTATGTATTGGCTGTGTTGTGATGTTTTGATCATTTGCTTTAATTCTAAATTTCTGTCCAATGCACGAAAGTACCGCCCAATAATGTCCACCTCTGCTTATAGACTTTCCTTCATGTCTTATTGTTGATTTAATAGTACATTGCACTTTACCAACACCTTCCAATTTCAACTAAAGTTCACAGTGGAATGTGCTCTGGGAATCTGAATCACAATATTGAAAGAGCTAAATCGTTGCTTCCAGACCACTGATTGCTTACACTTTGAGTAATTCTGTGTGACTATGTTCTCTAGCAAAGACTTGTGGATGAGGGTGGATAAACTCATGAAAAAAGCAGCTATCTCTGCAACCAAAAAATGACTGACTTCACGTATTTCGGTATGCAAGAAACTACAGTTCTAGCAAAAGTCTACATGGGAAGTAATAAAGGTACAGTACTGTTTACTTGACCACAAACAACCCAAGACATCCAGGTGGATGCTGCACATCCCCACTACCTGTAAAGCGCTTTGAGTGGAGTGTCCAGAAAAGTGCTATATAAGTGTAAGCAATTATTATTAATTATTATTATAAGGGGAATTATTAAATCATCTGGGTCAATTTCTCTCTTGAAATCTATTGAAGATATCACTTTGAATATCTCATCTAACACTGGCTTTGAAAAGTAGCTGCTAGGATTTTTGATGGCAGGTTTGACCAAATTCAGTAAACAGCCAGGCATAATCTTAAAACCTTTAGAATAGAATTCCATATTTTTTTTGGTCTGTATTGCATTCATATTAGCAACACACTACATGACAAAATTAAACCGGCACTTTTTTACGGCTTTTTTTTACCTGTTTTTGAGAATTTTATGATAGGTGGCTTGTTGTGATCATTTGGATGACCATAAATTTTGCATTTATCATTTAGACTGAAAATGTTTGATTGTCTTGATAGGGTTTTTTGGAATGAATGCCTGAGATATTGTGGAATTTTCTGTTCTTGTTCCATTCCTCCTCTTCCACAAGGGCAGGAGACGTACTTATTCTAGACAAATTCAGTCTTATCTCGTCACAAAATTCCCTTTCATGTTCTTTGTAGAGAGTTCCTCACGTTTTCACACATTCATTTTGAACTTTACCTCAGAAATGATGTAGTCCGTCCATTTTTTGGTATTGCTGAAATTTGCCAATTAGTATCTCTGTCCATATTGGGATTGATGACAGGAAATTTTTTTTTTTCCAAAAAAGTTTTGAACCAAAATAGTCATTGGGCCCTTTGTTCTCATGTCTGTATATCTGCCATTGCCTTAATGTACTTGTTTTTTTAATAGTGAAGAGATGGGGAATTCACATTCTCTATGCATCTTCAGCACCTGTAACAGTGGGGATACGGCTAGTGTTCAGTTGTGACACTCGACTTCTGAGATTGGAAAAAGACTGTGTGACAAGTGTGTTACTGTATCCACTACCCATGAAAATGCAGGTGCCATAAATATGAGCAGAGAGGTCTTTTAATCTCTATGACACTGAAGATATACATGTTATTTTAGCTGGTTTTGGAAAATTACCACTGTGCTAGTGTTTTAATTTCAGAGGTGTTCTCATAACAGCTACCATCTAGACTCATACCATCAACATCACTTCTGCACATACCGTGCATTTCACTTTCAGAGGGAATGACATGAGGAACAATTTCCTTGGGTGATGGATGCACTACATGCAATTCTACTTTCCACTTCTGTGTCACCATTTAGCTCGACCTCCCTATCCTGGTAAACCATCTGTTTATTGTCTGTCTTAACACAATAAGCCCCCAAAATTAGATAATCCAGTGTGTTTGAGCACCAATGCTGACATGTGATACATCAATTTTACTTTTTTTGGGTTACATTTGACTTATGATGTTATGACACCGCTGATTGCTTCACATTTGTTCATGAAACTGAACCCAGTTTTTAATGCCGTGACTTTAACATCACATTTTTCGGAGCAACACAGAAACCCTGCAGATTCAGTATGTATGTCATTCTGTGTAATACCTACACAAACAAAGTCAAACCACTCATTGCAAGCATCGCACTCCACCTTTGGTTTATTTGGCTGTTGGGTGATTTACAGATGCATTACAGTTTCTGCCTTTTCAAAACATTGCCAGTCATCCACTCTATGCCTAAGCACCTTTTTTATTGTATAGTTACTCTGTGTCACAGCTATGGTTTTGGTCGCAATACTATGATCTATGATCTATGGTCTTCAGTGTCAGCATTACTTTGCTTGGGATCACGGTGGTTGTTTACACTTTTCCCTGTCCATCACTGCATGGTCCCAGGCTGGGAACAGGAAGTGTTCCTATAAACCCCAGCAACATTGGCAAGGATGCTTATCTGGCAAAACCCTGGTTATATACCATTAGCTGGGGATCTGTAGAATAGATCTGAGCTAGTTTTGGAGAGGCACACATTTTTGTGTGGTCGGGAGGGGAGTGAGATCACTCCCTGTCCATCACTGCACGGTCCCAGGCTGGGAACAGAAAGAGGTCTTATAAACCCCAGCAACATTAGCAAAGACAATTATCTGAGAAAACCATAGTTATGTACAATTAGCTGAGGGTCTGTAGAGTAGATCAGAGGTATTTTGGAGAGGCACAAGTTTTTGTTTGGTAGGGAGGGGAGTGAGACCACTCCCTGTTCATCACTGCACGGTCCCAGTCTGGGAATAGGAGATGCTCTATAAACCCCAGCAGGTTTGACAGAGACACTTATCTGACTAAAACAAGGTGATTTTCTATTAGCTGAGGGTCTGCGCAATAGATTCCATCCACCTTTGGAGAGGTGCAAATTTTCCCCATCCAATTCTGCACTGCAATTTTTCTAGAGGTGATCCACACAGACCAACAATATTAATAAAGAATTAAGAATGAAGAAGGGTGCTTTGCTATTGGCTGAGTGTGTTAACATTGTATGTTTCACCACTTTTGATGGTGCAAAAATTATGTTTTTGTCCATGGTTATAGTTTATTGAATGAATTGAATTGATTAAAATAATACATTTGATTAAATTACAAATATCAGATACAGCTCCTTTAAAAGCTTGCATCTCAAAACCTTTTTCATTGAACTAAAAAAAACATTTCTAAGAAAAAAATATAGCAATGGTCAGAGGACCTGCCTACTGTGTAAAACACTTACTTGCAGCATTTAGGGGTGCTGTGGTTTAAATGCTATGGGCTCGCAAACAGAGCCCCCCTATCCCACTGCATAGTGCCACATTAAATAAAACCACAAGAAAAAGAGATTCACAATGCAAAGCTGTGCCAGTCTTCTGTGTAAAAAATTGGTTTGAACATCATGGGTGGTGTTTTTAAAAAGCTGTTGAGTAAAGAATAGGAATTTTTCTGCTGTCAGCAGTATTGTGTATATAATTGACCCTTACCTGAATGAAAACAGGACATAAAGAAAGGGTTAAAGAAATCAAAGCTTTATTCCCTGTTTACAGACTGGATAACTGGAGACTACTTTGAGTTTGTTTCGGTGCTGTTCTGCTTCCTATGGTCATATGCGGGTATTTTGCACAAACCCGTAATGAGCAGCATTTCTCGCATTGTGAACATAAGTACACAGCGGTGTTCCAGTTATTCATCGATGAAAAACCTGAGGTTTACAAAAAGAGAATTAGCTTACTGATTTTTTCTGTAGAGGTTGTGAAAATTTTCACAAGTCGTGGTCTTTAAAATGCATTTGGTTTGAAGGCTTTATGTGTTTCCCTTGCAATATGGACATAAGAATATTTGTCAAAAAATGGTGTAGAAACGAAAGTGAAGGCTATGAAAAATTCACCATGTACTTTGTTTTCTAGGTCCGGAGGTTTCGTAAAAACGCTACTGGCATGCCAAAATCGTTTTCTAACTTCAAGCTAACTTTACCGCGGTGAAATGCATTAAAAACCGAGAACAGGAGGCTTAACCAACCGGTTGAGGGAGTGTGGAACAAGCATCTCAGCCGTGTGGTTGAAGCTCATATGCTGCCTTCTCTGAAGAAACGTTGATTAACTACTATCTACCAAACAGGCCAGACGGCTTCTTCTGATTTGTAACCTTTCTCATGTTCTTATTATTTACCTATAATATAAGTAACCTCAATTACAAAGAAAGTAATTCATATTAAGAACGTATTTCTTATGCAAACCATAAAAGGTCATTTGGCCCTTCTTGTTCAGATGCCAAGTGAAACTAATATTTCATCCATCCATTTATTAAAAGTGTCCCGAGTTTAGGCTTCAGCCACTTGGATGGAAAGTCCATTCCAGATACCCACAACTCTTTGAGTAAGGAAACATTTCCTATTTTCTGTGGCATTTCAATTCAACTTAAATTTCCAGTTATGAATCCATGTCCATGCTTCACCACTGAGTGTAAATAGTCCTCTGGTTTGACATTATCTATACCTCTCAGGATCTTCTACGCACAAATCAAATTTCTGCTCAGTTTCTCTGCTCTAGACTGAAGACAATTAGTTATTTTGAATACACTACACAGTATATGTCTATAAGACCAGGAATGGCAGCACAGCGTCACAGTGATTAGCATTGATAACTAGCAGCTATGGGATTCTGGGCTCAATTTCAGACCTCGGATACTATTTGTGTGGAGTTTGTATGTTCTGCCTGTGTTCATGTGGGTTTTTTCTGGGTGCTCCAGTTTCCTCATACAGTCCAAAAACACACTAGTAAGTTAATTGGCTTTTGGGAAAATTGGCCCTAAGTGCAAGTGTGTGTGTGGTTGTGTGCTGTGTGTGCAATGCAATGGACTAGCGTTCTGTCCAGGGTGTACTCAGCCTTTCACCTGTTTCTTGCTGGGATAGTCTCTGCCTCCCCTGCAACCCTGAAATACCTCCTATCCTTGTGTTACTTTTACACAATCTGTAAATTGTATTGTAAATTGCAATTGTGTAATTTATTATATCCTATTTTTTTTCTTTTCGTTAATCTAATCCCTATAAAGTCCTGTCCTTCTACTCTTCTATCCCTCTTAACGAGCTCGCGGACAACGATTTTCATTGCCGACAACACCACTGTATGCTGTACTGATTGATTGATTGATTTGGAAAGAACGGTTAGAAAATGGATGGATGTAAGATCAGGAACCATACTTGTTCAAAGTGAACTCTTTCTCAGGCTATAATAACGTTTTTGATGTAAGGTTACTAAAACTAGACCAAAGTTTAAGTATCTCAAGGTTCTGGAAATATCGTTTTTGTTTTCTGTTTGCACATTACATATTATCCATATACATACTCAGTGTGTTTGTGGAGCATATGGTGACATCTTGTGTTCTAAATATGTTATAGCAATAATAGTTTGTTCCTCAAAACTGCCCCACGTTTTTGTGTGGGGATTTGATTTGAATCTGGTTATAAAAACATACATTTTTTCAATGAAAAGCTTTTTTTTTAATAAAGTGTAACCTATTGTTTTCTTAAATGTTCGGCAGCACTACTGCTATAGAGTGGTTTGGCTCCATTTCGTCACAGCGCTGTTTCTGTCGGGCTTGATTGGAGAATCACTGGGCAGGTGTGCTACGTGAGATAAAAGATGGCTATTGAAAGCAGTTGAGCACAACTAGACAAGATCCCCTGCTATTTCTGAACACAGAGGCTGGTTCTACCATTTCAACACAGAACTAGAGAACACTCGCACAACCTCTCCTCGCTCCCCACTGACTAATGTTTGTTATTTGCATAGTAAAAACAAGTAAATAACATAAATATGTACTCATAAGATGTTTACAATAGACAACAGACCCTAAAAGAGATATAAGCTTCTGTTCCATTAAAAATTACACTCCAGTTTAATTATTTAATAATATATTTGAAATGTTTTAAATAACTCATTAGGAGAGAGTATACTGTACATAGAAGTTTAAGATGTAATGAAGAAAACATATAGAAATTCTTTGTTGAAGTCTTCCACAGGTGATTACTTAAATATTCACTTATTTGCAATCGCAAGACTTTCAAGCTATTTACATTTATTTTATTTTGAGAATCTCTACTTTCCTGTGCTGTCTTTTAAAACATCATTGATATTTATTTTTCTTTCAGTACACTGTAAGATGTTTAACATTCCTGGTGCTAGCCAGAGGGCAGTGGGAGAATATGCTTGAAAACTGTGTTAAGATCTCCTTATCAAACACTGAGTTTCACTGATGCTTGTGTAATTTGGTAAAGGGTGGCAGTCCCATATACTTCACAATTTATTTTATCCATATGCTCTTTTTAACAAACACTCCTAAACCTTGGGAATTCTTCACAGGCATGCAAAACAATGGACTTGTTGCAAATGAATATCCTTGTGTAAAAAAAAGAATAAAAATAGACTTTGGGACTGTGGTGAAATGATCATTTTAAACAAAAGTCTCATCAACTGCACTTGCGTCTATTCAGTTTTATATTTCATAAAGAAAAATACAGATTTTATTTAACAAAGGTAGGAGGACATTTGCTGAAGCTGAATGCATTTCTAAGAAGGAGCACTGAGAGTTTATTAAATTTTCACACACTCCTTCGTCCTTCTTTCTGTCAGGTACAGTCTCTGCCTCTGGAGCACATGAGCTTGATTTAACCTTCAGGATGACATTGATCTCCTGTGACAGGGAGATTCTCACTCACCTCTTGACAAGTAGGCCAAAAAGTGAAGCCCAGAATGACTTTGACAGAGGATGGGAAAGATACAGTATCACTTAAACTTAAAAATGTCTCCTGATGTGCACCCTTTATGTCTCAGAATTTCCACAAAGACTCTATAGACTCTACAGAGAACTCTAGTTCACTGGGGTTCTCTTCTCCTCAATTCAATATTGTTACTTGTGTAATATCTCCAATCACACGGAAGATAATTTGAAAAGAACAACTAAAGAATACACTTAAAGTAGAATTACTCTGTTTCAGGCTTCTACACTAATTGAAATACCATGTAGCTATCTGACAGTCCAGGAACACCTTAGTCCACAACAATAGCAGGTTAACAAATATAAAACATATTAACTATAATAATACCACAAGAAAAATAATAATCACAATGATGGTCATGAGTAAATCTGAAAGATCATTTTTTAATTCACAAACAGAATAAACATTTGAACAGCCACACATCTCAGCCCTTTAGGCATTTGTATAAAGCCATGAAGAAATAACCAGAAATGTGCTTAATTGATTGGGATGGGTTATTTAAAAGAATATCAAAAACAGGTTAAATTAAAAGACCAGACACTATTAAAACAAAGTATACACAAATACTTTATGTAGGGCACAAACAGAACTTTAAAAAACAACAGCAACTACTGTTGGAAATGCATTTGAGATTTTGGCTAAGTCAAGCCATCTCCATTAGTGAATACACAGACAAATTCAGTGTACTCTGTAATTGTCCTAACCAAAAGATGTGTGTGTGTGTGAAATTATGTATTATAAAGTTGGCATCTTGTCAACATTATTAACCGTAACTTGAGGCTCGGAGCGTAATATAATTAGACCTATTATAATTTTTGTTCCAAATTTAAAACTGCTGTCCTAGAATACGTTACAGCTGGCTCACACTAAATTATTTACATTAAGATTATTAAGTTTCAGCGAGGACATTAGAAGATGATAATTAAACAATTGACGGCACGCCCTGCCGTGGGCAGACGCTCAGGTATTTAAACGCGGAGTGCGGTTTGATTCTTGTGACGTTCGGGAGTCTGAAGTAAGTGGTTTTTATTATTGTTTTTACTATCGTTGTACGGAATATAACATTTTATTTAGTAAGAGTCTATCCAGTGATAAACACTAAGACCGTTAAAACGTAAAATGGCGGGGAAAATACAATCTGATGCTGGGATATCACAACAAATATACCAGTCTAATGCAGACCAAACGTGGCGCTTGAGGAAACACTAGAAGCTGTTATTTGTGGCTATTGGTCACATTCGTAGATGTTAACTTTTAAAAAATGTTTTTCCAATTCTTAACTAGCTTGAGAATGTCTACATCTTCTACTCGCTTGTAGCAGTGCCCATAATGTTCACAATGTAATTTTCTTGACGTATCCGTTTTGAAAGCCGCATTTTCTGACTATTGGTATTTTTCCTCAGGATGCGCAACTTGTTGATTTCTTTCATTTTCGGGATCGCCCTCTCCGAAGAATGCAAGCGGTTTCGTAGAGGTACTTGTTAATCTCAGGGGTGAGATTATGGTTAAAAATGGGGCTGGCGTCACATACCTGGGCTAAATTTCTTCCTCACTGTGATTCAGATTCTGCAGTGCTGATTACCTTATTCAGCTCTTCCTCAGTGATGAACAGTCTAATACCCGACAATGCCAGCTGGTTCTAGCTGCAAGTGGTTAGTAGTGTGGACTGATTAGGATCTTTGAAAATCTACTACATAACAGCTCAACTGTATTCTTCTTAAACATCCAATTTCAGGGACAATATTCTTCAGTTATAGGTCTAAATGTTGACTTCCTTTTGAAATTAGAGATTTTCAAATCCTTTTTTGGCTGATCAATTGAATATCTTCAACAAGAGCAGAGACTAGTTTGTACATCAATTGGCTCCCAGCTTGTGCTTGTACTGTTCCTTGATAACCAAGTTGAACCTTGGCTGTAATTGTTGGCTGACCTCTGTCTGAGATCTGAGTTAACTTGACTTTTCCTCCACACAGAGAAGAATGTAGCTCCATCAGGCCAGGCAGTCCAGTCATCTACTTACAACTCATTTGGCAGTGCTGAGAATGCCATTGATGGCTCGAGAAAGAACCTATTCAACCTCAAGACCTGCATCCTCTCACAGTATGAAATTGGGCCATGGTGGAGAGTTGATCTGCAGAACTACTATCGCGTGTCTGCAGTCACTATTGTCCCATTGGCCATGTGGTACAGCATGATTGTGGGTGCTGAAGTCCGTGTTGGAAACTCGCTCATTGGAAATGGAAACAAAAACTACATGTAAGATCCTTGGTCCATCAAATTGGCAGCATTACAATGTTTTCATTTGCTGAGATGACTTGAGACTTGTAGTGAACGGCATAAATAGCTGTTTTGTCCTTCTCGGGTCTCCATTCTGCAACTTCCAAATTGCAAAATATGCACACCTGTTTGTGTGGGGAATGGAGTATTTATAGGTTTAATTAGTACTTATGTTTTTTTTCCTCAAATGCACAGATTTAAAAAATAGCATATCCTTATCAGTTTATACAGTTAGCCTCACCTCATTCATAAATTAGTCCAGGTCTTTCCATTTATATAATGAACTAGTGTTTATTTTGGTACAATTTTAATGTTAAGTTGTTTTTAGGGTCTGAGTGCCATCTCTTCCCTTGCAGGTGTGGCACTGTTAATGCCACTTCCAGCGGCTCATTCCCTACAGTGTGCTGCCATGGAGTAGTTGGTCGCTATGTGAATGTGGTGATCCCCGATAAGCCTCAGTACCTGGTGTTCTGTGAGGTGGAGGTGTATGCAGTCCCAGTTACCTGTGTTCGTTTCTCTGGAGGTATGACACTTCTGTTAAGGGCACCATAGTAGTAAATATAGTAAAGACATTTTACAGTATATGCTCAAGGTACAATGAGTTTCATCTGAGCAGGAGTTTGTAGAGCATAGTAAGTGAATACCCTCTACAAACAATGCATGGGCTTAGCCCAGTTTTAAACATACTGATGATTCTCTTGATAAGAATGATGCATTGGTTCCTTTGAATGTCCAATGGGGGAGGGACAACATGGCTAAATTGCTTGTCCAACTTGCTAATGAACTGCACTTTTCTATATCAACCTCTTAACTGGGAATGCATTAAGTAAAAGGATGTTGAACAATCAATAACCAATTTCACTTTCCTAATGCATTGCTGTTTTTTTTCTGATTATCATTAACCTAGTATACTGAGCAGTAACTTCTAAACAGTTTCTTTTACAATGGGTGATATTGGGTCCCTGCTGGCCATCCAATTAGTGAGATGGTCCTGATGCTCTCCAGGATCAGGGTTAGAGACCCTAGTTTTGAAAGGGTGCAATTGTGTGTATGTGGTGGGGGTGGATTCCCAACTTCAGCTGAAATTGAGTTTGTTGTAACTAGAGAAAAATGTGGCTCTGAAGAGCAAGGTTTCCCAGTCCTCCGTCTATGAGCCCCTTAGTCTGGCTATGAAAGCCGTTGATCGAAACAAGGACAACATCTACTCTAATGGAAGCTGTGCCCACACCCGGTATGATTACAATGCTTGGTGGAGGGCAGACCTGCAGGCAAGTCACATAGTCTCCGAAGTCACAGTTTTCAATAGGAGAGACTGCTGCCACCAGAGGCTGCAGGGGGCTGAAATCCACCTTGGAGACTCCGTGTTGAACAATGGAAGAGACGGCTACAGGTAGGTTTTCACATTTGAGAAGATTACCTTGCAGGAAAATTTAACAAAGCCAAAACATTATCCTGTGTTGTGCATCAAAGCTATGACCTGAGTTGGGTTTTTTTAATCCAGTTCTTTAAGGTTGCACACTCCTAGGTTTTTTTCAGTCTTGATTGGTGAACCTACCTAAACCACTTTTCCTGGGACTCTTCAGAACTGCCAGGGCAGGGATTCTGATTTGCATTTTGCTTGCTCTGTTCAACCTGGTCTTTTCTTCCCCAAATGACTTAGGGCTTGGCAACGTCTTCCTACATTAAATCTGAAGATATTGCTGTTAAGTAAGGAGCTTGCATTGGTCTAGTAAGCAAGGGGTAGGCGGGTCTGGGTCTGGTTAACTTAGAGTTAAACTAGTGTCAGACTGACATTGCCAACTCTTCAGTGATGTAGTGGTTACATGGTAAAGGTCTGTAATGTGATGGAATTTGTGAATAAATTTTTCACTCAGGTGTGGCATAATCACCTACACTGCTCCTGGTTCTGTGCACACCATCTGCTGTAATGGGCGAAAGGGGCGCTACCTGACCATAACCATTCCGGGGCGCCAAGAGTATCTCACTCTGTGTGAAGTGGAGATTAATGGACTGCCTATTCCTCCTTGTCTCCCAAACTACTATACTGGTAAACCACCCCCACAAAGCTGAGATTTTCCTACTTCTGTAATCCTGGCTCTGACTTCGTGTTTATTTTTTTACTACCAATACACTGATTCTAGCATGGTAGATCGCTTAAGTCAACATGTTGGTTTTTTTTTTTTAACCTGTTGATCACTCCCAATAAGTCTAGGTTTCATGGATTTTACCTCTTAAAATGGATACAAAAATTAAGTTCTTTTCACAGAGTCCAACGTGGCCTTAATAGGAAAAGCCACCCAGTCCTCCACACTGGACAGCCTGGGTGTAGCTGATCATGGTATCAATGACAACTACAGCCCTCACTACTTCAAAAGTGCCTGTACTAGCACTCGCAAGGAGGCCCGGCCCTGGTGGCGAGTGGAGTTACCAGGGAGGTATGCCATTACAACAGTGATTGTTGTGAACCGTGGTGACTGCTGCCCAGAACGTCTGAATGGTGCTCAGGTCCGTGCAGGTGAATCCCAGGAGGACAATGGCAACGTCAACCCCAGGTGAGGATTAATTTTTCAGTGGGATCATGGGGGGGGCAGGAATAATGGAGGAGTAAGAACTTTTGCAAAAGTGGAGGTGATTGGAAAGAAATGTTTAACAAAAATTTAAAGCATATCCGAGAACATCTGTGTTCTGAAAGGTCCAATATGCCCATTGTTGGCTGTATCAGTAATGAGCATTTTGGTATTGGCCTCTCCTACTTCTAGAATGCCCTTCCCTATGTACGCCACTGAAATGTTAGAATCGAGTTTCCATATTCCCATATGTGCTTTGGCTTTTCATTTATTTGCAAATGTCAGCTTCTGTTTCAGTTTAGAATAGATCTCAAATCCTAATTCCAAGTTTAATTGCACTTAATTCTAGTCAAGTCAGTTTCCTATGACTGCATCCTAAACCTCATGCCAGCCTTTGAAATCCATGAGTAAATATCCCATTTGAAGTTGAGTTACAAATAGTTTACTTGAAGATTACTTATCTAAAGGGACCTTACATAAGTTTAAGTGCTTTTTTTTTTTGTCATTTGGCAACTTGAGTCTCTCCTACTGTGGATTCCTGCCCAAATGCCATACACTTAACCCCAGTGATCTGCAAGTTGGTCTGGACCTTTTATAGTTTGATCATTGATAATGGAGAAGTATCCATCTCTGAGCTGGCCTCACATGGTGGTCTGTGCAGGTGTGGAACGATTGCTAATGCCTCCCGAGGCACCTACCACTACTTCTGCTGTTGTGGGAAGAAGGCTCGTTATATCAACATTGTTCTCCCTGGAAGGTCACGAGTCTTGTCTATGTGCAAAGTTGATGTCTCTGGAGTTCCTGTTGCTGAAGATTGTCCTCGCATTCCTGGAGGTACAGAAAGAGTGCTCTGTCCAACAGTTATCTTCTAATTAGAATGAGTTGGAACTTAACTTCATAAGCAAGATAGGCTGGCCACTTCTACTACTGTAGTCATTCTTGCAGGCTATTAAATGTGAGAAGGACCAGATTTGATCGTCTGAATATAAAATTTGAGAAGTCTTAAATTTGTATGAATCTAAAAACTGATTTGCTTTGAACTAGGATTCAAAATCCTTTTCTTCTAAAGCTATTTTGCACTGTTACTCATTTCCCACTTAAATACTACATAGACATTTCAGTGTACAAGAGTAAAAGGGAAGTCAACCATTCTACATCAAATGACAAATCTTCCTAACTTAATAGGTCAATATGGCTGATGCTGACTTTTTGCTTGCTAGTATAGCATATTGAACCCAGGTCTCTCCAAATGTGATAAAGGTTTTTGTCCTTCTCCACCTGCAGACAAAAATGTTGCTTTGAGGGGTGAAGCCACTCAGTCCTCAACATACAGTGGTCTTGGGGAAGCAGGCAATGCCGTAGATGGAAGCTGGAATGCTTACTTGTTTCAGTCCTCTTGCACCCTGACACGGTACCAACAGGCCCCCTGGTGGAGGGTGGACCTGCATGGCAAGTACCAGGTGTCAGCAGTGCTAATTAGGAACAGGCAGGACTGCTGTAAGAATAGGCTGGAGAGAGCAGAAGTTCATCTAGGAAGCTCGCTGGTTAACAATGGCAACAGCAACTACAGGTAAACGCATTGTCTTGTGGGCATCTGCATTGCTAATCTGTGCAAACTGATCCCATAATCTAATCTAAAGGCTGCTTTTCCTGATGTTTACAGGTGTGGCATCATTCAATCAACCTCTCTAGGCTCTATCCACCTCATCTGCTGTGGAGGGCAAGTGGGCCAGTATGTGAATGTGGTTTCACCAAAGACTGTGTTCCTCACCCTCTGTGAAGTGGAAGTCTATGGAGTACCAGTGCCCAAGTGCAGACGCTTCAGAAAGGGTAGCTTTTTTTTCTTTTTTTAAAGCTTAAGGGTTGTTCCAGAGTGATAAAGATGCATGCTTGTGGAGACTTACGACGCAGTCAGGGTTGGCCACTTTTAGATCTTGGTCAAAAGTGCCTCTACTTGTTTTTGATTCTCAAGTCCTTGAGGTTTTCTTTGAGAATTCCTCAAAAATTAGGTCAGGTCCCCCCCCCCCGTAGCCTTCAGTTTTAAGGTGAAAGAAATTGAGTCTTTCCTTTTGGGAACATTTGGCTGCTCTCCAGATTTAGAGCATGGGGCAGTCTGTCAATTCACACCAGTGAATGTAAAGTCCCCACATTACACTGAATTTAAATTGCCTGCATTTTGAGAACTAATTTTTCTGTGAGGATGAAAATGTAAATGCACCATGCCATAGTTCTGTCCATTACTGCCATTTCATAGTCTAATAGGTTAGTTGAGGACAATTGGCCTTGCTTTGGGAGGTATTCCTTGAACCCTTTGGCATGTTAAAAGGCTCTTGAGTTCTAGTTTATGACCAGGCCTTACCTGGTTTAGCTTGGTCACCCTTGTCACATTAGCAAAGCATGTTTTGCTAATGGCCTCTGAATAACCTCCATTTAAGTACAATTGATGGTATTTTAGCAATTTGTTCCACCTGAAGAGAACTTTATGCTTGAGCTGGAACTTGATTTTTGGTCAATATTTCAATTAGAGTAGCATGCGAGTCTTACGGTCTTGAAGACTCATTATCCTTTAGCCACTATGACAGTATTTTTGGTCCTGTTAACTTTTTACCCTGGTTTTAAAGACTTAAGGGACTTATAAAGTAATCAATCTTCTACATCGTGGGTCACTTTACACATGAAATAAATGAAAAGCAGAGTTTAAGCTTGGGGTGTTTAGAATGTTGCCAACCAATGCCTATCTTTCTAAACATGTGATTATTGTAGACTCTAAATATAAAATGTGGCTGACCCTATTCCTACTGGAATAACTTGGCTATACTAGCTGGTTTGGAAACTTCACAGAAGGTGTTCCTGTTAAGACTCGTTAAGTCACTTTCCCTTGAGTAGAACTTTTTTTCCCCTAACAGAGAAGAACCTGGCTCTCCTGGCTCTGACATCTCAGTCGTCCACCTACGAAGCGGCTGGCCAAGCCAGTCATGCCATAGATGGGAACCGCAGCCCCTACTACATTATGAAGAGCTGCACTCACACGCTTTATGAAGTGTCTCCCTGGTGGCAGGCTGACCTGCGGATGTCTGTGCATGTCTCGGCCATTAAAGTGGTTAACAGACGGGACTGTTGTCACAAGCGCCTGGTTGGTGCTGAGGTGCGGTTGGGGAATTCTCTGGCTGCTAATGGCAATGCCAATTACAGGTAAGGCTCTATTGTCCCAATCAACTGAACTGCTTATGTATTAACCTTAAAGTTCAGTAGGTTCTCCTCAAATTCAGTCATGCATCTTGGGTTTTACTTGACTTAATGAATATGCTAGATGTAGCCAAATGTTAACAAAGGAACATGAATGCCAATGGTCCTGTTTCATGTTTTTTGGAATGCCAGCATAAAAGTTGGTTTCATCTGATCCAAACACTTTACACATTTGACTAAAGCAACAAGCGTTCTTATGCAGGTTTGTTCCAAACAAAAATTGGTCTAATTCTGAAGTTGTCAACAGGTGTGGTGTTATTTCTGTCGCATGGCCTGGCTCAGTCCACACCCTCTGCTGTAATGGCAGAAAAGGAAGGTATGTCAATGTAGTCATTCCTGGAAAAGAGAAGAACATCCTGACCTTGTGTGAGGTGGAGGTATATGCTGTGTGCCCACCCAAGACTTGCCCACGATTCTGGAATGGTAAAATGCTGCTTCTCTGTGGTTGTTTTATGACAAGATAATACTTTTAAGCACATAACTACTGTAGTATTTTCAGGGTAAACTACTTGAGTACTTCAACATCAAAGGGGATGGGGCTGTCACTTGAGCAAACATTTCCCCACAAAGGTCAATTTAATGACTCCTAAATTCCCCCGAGTACCAGGGAGACCAGTTCTTAACCTTTATTTTCTCCATCAGAGACTAACGTGGCTCTAAAGGGTGCAGCGAATCAGTCTTCGACTTTCAGCCCAACGGGTCTGGCAAGCAATGCCATTGATGGGAACCAGAATCCCAACTACTTCAGCTGGTCTTGCTCTCATACCCAGAAGAACTTTGGCCCCTGGTGGCGCCTTGATCTGAAGACTAGGTTTCGTATCAGCTGGGTTCTGATTGTGAACAGACAGGACTGCTGCTCTGAGAGGTTGGAGGGGGCAGAGGTGCTAATTGGAGATGGGCTCCTGGAGCAGACTGATGAAAATATCTGGTAACTTGATATTTTTGAAATGCCTCATGATTTTAAAAGTTAACTGCAGAGTTTATTTCATCAAACCCTTGTCTATAAAACTGGGGTGTTTGCCACTGATCACAAGGTGTTTTATAGTGACTGGATATTCCTTGCCAGTCCTTCATGCTTTTGCACCAGTTCATCGGTTTTGGTAAAATGCTTGTAGTACAGTATGTCTTGGGTTGTGGCAATTTGTTGGGTCAAATATCTTGCCAAGAGCAAAACTCATGGCTATGAACCACTTGGACGGTGGGTGACGGTCATGGATTTAGTTTAACATTCAACACAATGGTACAAAGATGTTAGAAATGTACATCCTCCAGGCAGGCTAAATTTCCAGGGATCCATTAGTTGGTTAACTTGCAGATTTTGTCTTCACTTAACAAAGCAGTTAAAATGGTTAAGCCCAGTGACTTGGTCTGGCATGACAAACCAAACATTAGATCAAATGTACTTTTATACCTGCATACCTGTTTTTTTTATAAAGCAGGTCTTTAGTGCTTGGTACAGTATTCAGTTCTATTTCACATCCCTTTTATAGAAGTGGAATCCATTAAAGTACTAATGGTCACTTTTTCCTGTAACTGAAAACCTAAAATATAGTATTGCTATAGCACTTTTCTGGTAAAGATGTGTAAGTGTAGCTAAAACAAGTTGCAGGGTGGCTCTCTCCAGTAAGATGTGTAGTTTGGAAGACATGGCTCTTTTTCCCTACAGGTGTGGGACAGTTGAAAAGGTGTCCCCAGGATCCATTCATAAACTCTGCTGCTATGGCATCAAGGCTCGTTTTGTGAATATCATCATTCCAAACCGAGAAGAGTATCTCTCTCTCTGTGAGGTGGAAGTCTATGGTGTTCTCCCTCTTCACAATCTGGGAGAAAGTGAACAGTTCCTGAGGGAACAGGTGATTGGATCAATACAGCCTTCCAGTGCAGACAGGCCTGCACTTCCGGACTCCCAGAATGCCGTTTCATCAAAGTCCAGTATACAGAGGCTTGTCTCTGCCTTGAAGCCTGGTTCCTTGGAAGACCATACACCACCTAGAAATGAGCAAGATGGTCAACCCAGATGAGAGGTTTTCACATTCCTTAAAGTTATAAAGGTAACTTAAAATTGGATCCTGCTATAATTTAGGTTCTGTGACTTCAACTTTTGTTGAATGACTTGAGCAGCATCTTTATATCCAAGTGATATGAAGGCTTTTTGTTTAATGTCCTCCTAAAGAGAGGAGGAAAACATTCTCTAGTCCACTTAGTGGAGCTGTATGAGGGTGGAGCTTGATTCTATAGCAGGGTTTGGTGGTCTTGGTCTTGAAAGTCTGGTATTGGGGGGGGTTTCCCCTTTCAAAGAACTTAAATTTATCCCATTACTCCAAGAGTTGTTGGAGTGGAAGCCTGCATACACTGGTCCTCCTGAACTAGTCCTGTTCTAAAATGTGGGGCTGTGGAAGGTGCCCTTTTATTTATAGCCTCTTATTAGGAATGTGCTTTAAAGACTCAAGTTTAATGAGTTTCGCACTTGGTGTCTAGTGGAGATACAAATGGTGAACTTGTATAAAATGTTCATTAACTTTTTATTGTGCAGGTAAACCAGCTGGTGCCAAATGTGAAACTCAACTGGAAACTTGAATAAAACTTTTACTGGACTTCAATACTGTTTCTCCCGTGTATTTCTCATGTGCAATTCCTCGCACAGCAATGTCTATGTAATAGTAACAATTAGGTTTGCAGCAGCAACCCCTGGCTTGGTACTCGGGTCTTGGCAGAGCCTGTAGTTGCCCATATTATAGTGCTCTACAGACTGATTTGTAGGACTACTGTGTGTATGTAGATCTC